TACCCGGTAATTCTTAGCAGCAACCTTCACTTACCCAGCCGGAGCCGTGACTGGTGGAACCAAAGCTGCTGGGGTCTGGGGGCCATGGTTTAGTTGGGTTCAATCATGGGTGCGATGTACATTTTGCATGTGTTAATATCCAACTGTATATGCGTATTTTATTTCTCTCCAAGAGTGGCCCAGATTTTGGTTGAATAATAAGTCCTAAGTAATGGGACTGGACAGTCATATCAGTTCTGATCTCCTGAAACTGCTGTGCTTTAGACACTGGGCACATTAGCAAGCCCCAGTAGATTATATATATTTTTTGCAAGTTTATCAAATAAACCCTCTGGTTTATATTCATATCGTGCGAAATGCCCACTTTTGTGATGGGGGGAGAAAAATCTGGTTTTACCTTTTCACCACTTTTATGATGATCCAACATTTGTGTGGTTAGAAATACAAAGTATAGTACTATGCTTTAACAAAAACGCTTCACGATAATTGCTTAACATAGAACTGTAAGTTAATTGTCATTTTGCATTGGTCATCAATAACTGATTAGCGAGTTGTGAGATCACAACGAGACCTAGTGCTGTGCCGAATGTGTGTCCAGTCTACCGTTACGGGGAACCCTTTGTGCTATGCTTGGTTATTGTTTATAGGTGACATAATTTCTCCTTCAATGCTCATGGTGTTTGTTGAATAATGCCTGCGGAGGGAAGGGTTGTGCTGCTTATTATTAGTGTTACATGTGATAACTAGCCTGTGAACTTTTGAGTGCTTTGAAGTGAAAACCCCTATTATTGTCTCAAAAGTACATTGTACTACACACAGCATTCACGGTGGGAAAGCAAAGCAATAAAGAATGCAGATACTATATGTTACGAGCCCTAACGAGAATACAGCAGTGCATTTTATAATAGAAAATCCAGCAGAAGTAGGTGAGCGGCAGTGCCATATGCACAGGTGTGGACTTGTAAACCTTGCAAATAATTGTCAAGCAACAGCAGACACTCCCGACTGAAAATGATTGGTGTTCCACACGGTAGATTTCGTGTTGTGTGCAGTTTTTGTACACGCTTTTTCGGTCGCAATTACAATGATGAAGCATGATGGGTTTGATGCTCAGCGTATTCCCGTGCTCACCCTCAAGGCTCACGGTCTCCTCAGCGCTTGAAAATGATAATTGTATTCTCATGTCCAAAGCCCTGCCTCATCTTATGTGCATGGGCAATGCTGATGGTGTGTTTTTCACTTTATAGCGCGCACATTCTATTTTTCCTGGTTGAGCGTCGTTGTGTTACTGTATTATTATTATGACGTGACATATCAAAGTGTGAATTTTTTTGTTCATATTTTCTGAAGACTAAAATGTATGCAACACTGAAAACAATTAAAATACAGTGAAATATAGTATTTCAGGGATATTTAAAATGGTGCTATTTCATTATTTAGTGAACTTTAGTTTTTTTCTATGTGAAAGGGAAAAGTCAGGTTAAATTAAATACGTAAAAATCCCACGATTAATATTTATGCCTTGGTCATCATGTGCCATGGTTTATCCACTGCTGGATGAAGGCCTCTAAGCCCCGCTGTCACTTCTCACAATTCTGCTGTGTAATAATCCATGCATTGCTATTTTTATTTTTGGAGATTGTAGAAAAACCTCGAGTAAATTGTTTTCATAGGCTTCCATAATCATTCAAGATCACGGTGAAGGGTTTTGCATTCTGAGTTCTGTATCCCTTGCATTTTTAAAGGATGGACATGGCAATAACTTTTTTTCTGTTTTTGAGGTAAAGCCATAAAATACTGTAGTTCGTGTCAGTGGCAGGATGCGTTGGTGTGCATATACAGTTATTGTTCTTTCCCTTGTCGTCGTTACCAGTTAATTGCAGAAGTAATTGGTTACACAGACTTAAGTATCATAATAATGTATCTTTGCCCTAAAGGGGCACAGTGCGCAAGACCGACCTGAAATCTCATCAACCACACACAGCTGTGCTCAGTATTGGCTTTGTGGGTAATGATCCCAACACATTCCAGATACTTAATCTGTTATAATACCTGTTTATTAGCATCGCGGTGGATTGCAGTTTATCAAAGCAGTCTCAGCTGCAGCTAGTGTGTGTGTGTGTGTGTTCATTTTCTAAGTTGGAAGAAGAGAGACTGCACACATTGCACAGCGGGCTTGTCATCACACAATTGGGAGTCGCACAACAGTCATTTATATTTGGATCTGTGAAGTGCTATTTCGTACAGCCAAATTGAAATGGCTAATTTTCCACTAATGTGAGAAACTGACATCTGAAATATTCACAACTTTAGTGCTCTCTCTGTGAGACAGAAATATCCCATGGCTGCAGGCTACGAAAAGAATAGTTCAAGGCTGCGGGTTTGTAAAAAGCTACAAGCATGGGGGTTCATGTCGGTATTTTAGGGTTGCTCCTCCACAAAGAAGCAATTTTATTTAGCTCCTGCATGTGGGAATCATCTGAACAAAGCGGGAATGCATGTGCCCTTGAATTATGGGATCTGGCTCGTGTCGACAGCACTGATGTTTGGAAAGTTAAGACAGGTATGAGCGCTGTATGAGCAGATGCACATGTGTCCAGACACATGTGGAGCACAAAATGGTCCCATTTGCATTTACAATACATTACTACTGTAATGGCCGACGACCAACTTGCCCTGAATGCACCCGATATTGGAAGCTAAGCTGATTTAAGCCTGGCTAGTGATTGGATGGGCGACCGCCATGCATAAGACAGGTGCTGTAGGCTGTTGCGGGGCTACGTTGTCAGCAGCGAGCAGTGCAGCAAACTTTATGCCTCAATGTCTGTTACTCAACTAACTTCAACTGTAGCTGGGAATTGAATTCTGGTCGCCAGGGGCTCAGTGCAATGAGCTAGCCACTCAAACACTGCCCCATCGCCGTGCATAAAGATTGTTAAATTTGAATAACAGTGTCACGGTAGTTTGAAGCCTGAAATGATAACCAGGTTCCACTAATAAATGTATGTCGTGAACATTAACACTCCAATTTGAGACAAGGTGGCTTCCAGTGTGATTGAATGATATTCACTGCACATATCACAATACACTCTCTACCGAGCAATTGGATGATTTTTCACACTTTCGGGGTCATGGGTATATTCAGGATACTATTCTTTGTCTCGTTTTCACCGTCTCGTTTAATTTTTTTCTTATTTAAGTTATTTTTTATTCGTTCCATTCGCCTAAATTTGACAGTATAATTTACATAAGGATGTTGCCACGGTGGGATGGTTGGCAAATGCTGGACTTTTAAAATCTGGAGACATTGTGGCCGTTAAAATAATGGGCAAGTGTATTAAATTCCTCCCTCTGACCACCCCGCGGCAGTATAACTGGTTATGACATAGGCGATCGGAAGGTTTCGCGTATGGGGTAAACTGTGCAATACTCCCACCTCTTTTGGTCATCGTGAAAGTGCCCTCTCGAGAGGCTTTCTTGCGTTTCCTCTCATGGAGGCCTTTATGCCAGCAGCGGGCTTGGCAGAGCTGCATGTTAACTTTCGTAAGTTTGCGTAATTTGTCAATTTTAACCTCTAATAGCTTCTTACACGCACGATATTGTGAGAGTCGATTTTAATCAACCAAGTGATGCATCGTGTTTTACGTGCATATTCACCTGAAACAGAGATAAAACAGCCCGAGCAGTTTCCTATCTGTCTGCCAAAGCGATCGCACAGCTGTGTTATGATTTACACTCGGAACGTAATTCCATTTGGTCTAATGTAAATATCTGTCGCACCAAAAAAACACCTTAAAGTTCACACTGAAATAACTCTTCGTGTGTTCCTGCTTTGACTTGCCTGTTCATCCAAAACCACTTGTACTGTACGCGGGTTGAAGATTGCTATGTGGCACATGTTTAAACACTGCCTGGGTGTGTCTGTGGACTTGGGCGTGTGCGTACACGTGCACTGCGTGGGTCTAGATGGGAGTGAAATAACGCCAAGGCAGAGTGAGGTTTGCAAAGGTGATAGGCAATGAGCCAAAACTATAAAAACAAAAATCCACATAGTACAAGCGGGGGGGGGGGGTTATACTTGTTGTTTATCACATCATTCAAAGAAGATTCATATGAGGGCTGTCCAATTCTCCGAGCAGCTGGATTTTGGTGTGATCAGCCATGCGGTGACAATCACAGACGTTAGAGCCCTCTGCTCAATAATCTATCGCGCACCGATGAACAGAAGAAGATGTGTTAAAATGTTGCAACATCCACGGTACTTTGTCCTTGCTGTTTAAGGCAAACACAATAACATGCCGATCATGAATGAGTATTCCATTTATAGCGGTTGAAAATTTCCCACAACACACACACAATCAGGTGTTTTAGTCTGCCGGCTGAGCACCTGAATTTGAAAGCACACACACGGATAATGCCATATGCAATGTGCTTCACTTATGTTTTCATTAAGGGCTCTGTTCGAGCAGCCTCTAAAAGCGGTCATTGCATACAATGAGCTGCTGTTAAGGCAGCCTCCTGACTGCACTTGGTAAGCCTCTTAGTGCTAATCCAAACAGAGCTGCGTGCAATTGCGCTAATACTGTGCACAGCAAGGATAACCAGATTTTGGAACTGAGTTTGGCTTCTGAAAAACGGCCCCATGATGTGCTTGGGCTTATTTTTATAGCACTTTCTATACACATTTAAGCATTTATGAGATTTTTATATGTGGAATTTTTCGTGGTCAATAAAGAAACTTTGATAAATATACTCTTCATGGCAACGATTTATAAACTGGCATTGCATTACAGTGACAGTTTTAAATCGTATAACATTAATGATTAAGAACTATAGATAAAATCTCCAACTTTTTATACATGGCAAATACTCGAAGTGCACTTTTGTAGGCTCCTATAACCTCTGTAAAAGTGCGATTATTGTTTAATGATGAGACCAAATGTCTAAATTGTGTGTGCATGTGTGTACATATCGAGCTAATAATTTCTGTTATTTTACAGATGGGGACTTTTATGCTGCAACCACAAACAACTTCTTGGGAACAGAAATGGTGATTTCTCGGAACCTGGGTTCTCGGCAAGCTCTTAAGTCAGATTATGTTTCCACCTGGCTCAACGGTAAGCGTTTGCATGAAGTCCTTTTGTTACAAATTTACATGACCTCCCCCCCCATGGTTGGTGACTACCAGATGCATTTTCTGGAAACCCTCAGGTAAAGATTGGCCCTCGAAAGAAGTAATTTGAAATCGCTAGCAATTTACTGTACATTGCCTGCAATAATTAAATTAAAAGCTTGTATTCTTGTTTTCCCTTGCATTGAGATGAATATCATTTTCTTCAATGGTTAATGGTCTTGTGCTGCTGTTCCTTTATGTCCAAACATCAGAACCCATTTTTGTGGGATCCTCATTCATCCAAGAGAGCGTGAACAGTACATTTGGCGACGATGACAAGATATACTTTTTTTTCACCGAGACGGCAAAGGAATATGAATTCTACAGCAAGCCCATCGTGTCTCGGATTGCTCGAGTCTGCAAGGTTCGGCCCTCTGCAAATGCCACATGCCGCCTTAAACCTGATGGGTGGAAAAATGTCATTCTTAGTATGTACTGCAATTTAACTTGCACTGAATAACTTTGCTCCTTCATTAACCTGATCCATAAACTGTTATGCCATGTGGAATTTTAATTGGTGATTGTAGATCAGTCCACAGTTGTGATTAGGCTATTTCACTTTCTGGTCTCTAGATAGCTGCCTTGCATAAGAATATTACAATATTGGACCTGAATATATATTTCTACAAACTCATTAAGCATTGGTGTAGAGCATTGTGGGTAACACCATATGGTACATAAGCAGAACTCCATTCTGTATCTCCACATTCATACAAATATTTTGATATTTATTTTTTATTTGTCAGCCTATTGGCTGATGAAAACTATAAAATCAAAAACCGGTCCAATGTGTGCTTGCTTAAAAGTTGTTGTTTGACAACATTGGTCTGCAAAGCCATTATCCCACTTGGATTTTTAAAATGTAATTTCATATACATTTGGAGACACGGAAATGCAATTCTGCTTACATGTATACAATGACTGCGAATGCACCGTACACTGTTGTTTTTTGGGATGGGGTGATTCATCGTTCTGTGAACTTTCAGGACGATGCTGGTGGGAAGCGAATTCTGCAGAAGCGCTGGACCACTTACCTGAAAGCGCAGATCGTCTGTGCCCAGCCGGAGATACAGTTCCACTTCAATGTCATCCGGGACATATTCGTTCTGCAGCCAGCAGACTCTTGGGAGGACACCGTGTTCTTTGGGGTGTTCACCTCGCAGTGGTGCGTGTGTGAACGCTGTTACTGCCAGCCATTAACGTCACAATTATGGGCAAAGGCCTAACCACCCCCCCCCCCCCCCCATTTTCTTCCATTAAGTTCCTTTCCTTCGTTGCTGTTGTTCATGACTGCCCTCCAATTTTAGTCGCCTCGCCCTCTCGTCCATACGCTGCAACTCTTATGTACGCACTTAATATTGTCAAAATACTTTTTTAAACAATGACGTTAAGCTCCGAGTACATATGACCTTCTTTTTTGTCCACTGGTTCTTTGGCTGGCACACCGACCCACCCACCTCGGCTTTCTCGGATGCCCTCCGTATTGTTTAGCTGTGACTGTGCACACTTAGGGATGCGGCGGTGACGAGATGTTAAATGCCTCGTCTGGTATACAGGAGGTTGTGGGTTTGATCCCGACCCTGACGCCTGCTGTTTATCTGGAGTTTGCATGTTCCCCCCCGTGGTTGTATAGATTTTTCTCCGGGTCCTCCGGTTTTTCCCCTCCACATTTAGAAACATGTGTTTAGAGTATTTGGCTGCAATACATTTCCACGTGCTACGCCACTATGTTGAGTTATCATTTGTGGCCAGGTCGCTTGTGAAAAATAGATAGCTTTAGTGGGCCTTACCTGGTAACATAAAACATCGTTTCATTTTAAGGAACCAGGTTGTGTGACTGTGTGCTTTCCTGTGGTGTTGGCTGGGTCCTTTAGGAGCGAGTCTGCTGGATCAGCCGTTTGCAGCTACAGCATTAAAGATGCCCAGAAGGTTTTCATGGGCCCCTTCAAGGAGTTCAACGAGGCCACGCAGAAGTGGGGCACTCACACTGGGTCCCTGCCATCCCCTCGCCCCGGAGAGGTACTGCAGAGCCGATGTTCACGTATATACTGCAGCGCAATGCGGCATGTCTGACTTATTGAAGTCTTCTGCAGACATTCACAAATCAGAGCTTGTCACATGCAGTAATGTGTTCTTAATCTCACGTACATTCACTGACTGCTAAAGTATGGTAGTATTTTCCTTAGTTTGAAGCATTTTGTGTTTTATTAATGACCAGTAACCTATTTTTGCATGGTGTAACTGTCACATTTTATAAATGTTCACATCTTGTGGCACTTCCGCCCACTGCCTTTTTGCCATTGTGAAACAATCTACCAGATTAGAGACCACATAGTGGTGAACCACTAAACGCTGAAAATGCAACTCCGGCATTCAAGCAATGCACCACATCAACTGAAGCCATTCACTAGCTAACTAATGTGGGCATATAATTATACTGTAAGTCGTTATTCATCTAGCCATAGGCAAGATGTATAATTACTCAAATTCTCCATGCACGTTCACCTCGCTCTGCCTGTTGGCATGTCTTGCACATGTTTGACAGTGTATCATCACCAAGTGGATATAAACCAGTGGATTAATAGTTGACTATGAAGAAAAATAAGTGGGCTTGGGCAGAACGTGTTACACTGGAAGTGATGATGGCCAGTGACTGAGACTATGAACAGAAAAGGCAGCCAAAGGATGGATCATGCCTGAGAGGATGCCTGCTGCAGAGATGGAGCGATGAAATCGGTTCATTTAGCAGTTTGTACGTGGATTGTTGCATCGCAGGACGGGTGAGAGATGGTGACATCTCAGGGAAACCTTCTTGCAGCAGGGGATTGATTGTGGATGATGATTGCTTGATCATTAAATGAGCAAATTAGTTTTATGATCCCTGTACCATTTCTCATGCTTGCATGTGAGACTTTCTCAATGCAATTTGCAGTTGCCATTCTCAAACAATGGATCACTTGGTACCACCACTGCCTGATTTGGTCATTTGCTGGCAGCATCTCAGTGATTAATCAGGCTAATACATACATACTTTTCTGATCTGCTCACCATACAAAAGAATAAGGGGATATGTGATAATATAAAACCATATTGTTTGCCCCCTCCCCCATCCCATTTAATCTTCCAATAAAGCCCTCATGTATAGCTTCTTGAGATGTGGTTGCATGCAGCCGCTATGTAAACTGAAGTTGGTTTGTTTCTTGCTTATTGTTTGTCTCAGTGCATCACGGCGCAGCACAGGCAAGCTGGCTACAACAGCACGCTGGATCTGCCCGACCAGACACTGACATTTGCTCGCGAGCATCACCTCATGGACGAGCTGCTGCAGCCCCTGGGCGCCCGTCCTCTCTTCTTCAAGCGTGGCATCAACTACACGCAGCTGGCGGTGGTGCGCGTGACCACCGCCTTCGGGGACCATGACGTCTTCTTCCTCGGCACTGGTAAGGACGAGCTGCTGGGCCACACACGCATTCGCTCACTCGCTTATCCACTCGCGTGTCCGCTCTAACTGTCTGCGCGTTAAATTGTATCCCACTTTCGACTGTTGAATATTTCGGGCCACCCAGTGTGAGCCACTGTTAACTGCTTCTCGATTGAATTGTTTTTTTTTTAGTAATTTGCAAATAAATCGTTTGCTTTTGTCCATTCCAAAAACGATGTATAAATATTGTTGTAATGGGCAGCCAATGATGTGTGAAAATTAAGATACTAAAAGTGAGAAGATATTACGCGCACTGTAAATTTCAATTGTCTACGTACACGTACAGCCATCTTGGCAATTCACTGCTGGATACGTATCCTGCAATAATATGTTTAAAGTCTAATTATAAAGTTCTTCATTTAGTTTTTTTGGGGTTCCACCACATGTTATTCCACATGGCATCTGAGCTGTTACTCCAAGTGCTGGGAGCTTCTTCTAGAAATGGCTCCCAGGATGTGGAGCGAAACGTCACACATCGCACAAAACACGCACCCAGAATACAACCAAAAACTACATCGGAGAGCTATGAAGGTAGAACTACAAAATATCAACGCAGTTGTACAAGTCCAACTGAGGTTTTCAAGTGAGCTGTTCTCAACATGTTTTTAATGTCCATATCTTTAAAGCTGATGGTGCACTACATATAGCACAGTAGCTCTTTGTATGTGTTGAAAGCATTTCAACATGTTCACAAAATGCAACAATCAAAGCAAGCTTTAGTTTATTTTTCGTGCTGAGGCACCAATGTTGTAGAGCATCAATTTAAAGAAAGTTATCTTCACCTGGAACAAGGGTGGCTGTGATGTAGACTAGATAAACATTGCTTTTTTCTGCCGTGGCCCCTATGAAAGTGCATCTTTTAAAACCAAACATACACGTGCACTCGAGTCTGCAAACAAGGTCCTCCTGTGTGCCGGCCTTCAATGCAGGACTTTCTTTCGAACCGTGTTGATTTTTCATTCTTGTCTGTAAGCCTTGCGTAGTCGGTGTTGGCTACAGCGGAGTGAGTCGGTATTGTGTGATGTTTGTAGGCAATGGCAGGTTGCACAAGGCTGTCAGCTTCGGAAAGATGGACACGCACATAATCGAGGAGCTGCAGATTTTCCCGAGGGCTGAGCCAGTGCAGAACCTGCTGCTGTCCAAGGAGAAGGTAGATAACTTGTTGCCAAACACATTAATGGCCTTTTTGTGGTGTGTGTGTTGCGTGCATGTGTGTGTACAAGAACTGAAGCCAAATTCTACGTTGGTCAGAGGCATTGCCCACACTGTAATTTGAGACGTGTATGCCTTTGAGTTTCCAAGTTCAGTCATCATCCACATGGGTGACTTTACATAGCTATGCTTGCATCTGTTTGATCGTTTGTTTGAGTTATGATAACATATTTCACCTGCCTCTACAGAGAGCCAGATTGTAATTTTGTTTATAACAAAATGTTAACGGCGTTGCTTGTTGATGGTTTACCACCATGTGTGTGTATGTGGGTACAGTACAGTGTGTTGTTGAGTGTACGTACACAGTATGTCTGTGTAATTGCGTATGTGTTAGCTTTAATATATTACTGTTTTTGGGTCGAGCAGTGCTGTAGTGGTTAGTGCACTGCACTATGAACCCTGGGTTCAATTTCCTGCAATAGCTAACATTCCGGGCTTATTAGATGTGAAGCTGTCCTTGGCCTTTTCTAGGTCAACTCAGCCTTAATGGAGGACCTGGTGTTGTGAGTAAACAGCCACATGATACCAGCATTTGTAGGTGCTCACGAACAGCCCTTGCTCCAACAGCCTGTGTAGGCTATTTATAAGGAATCTTTGATTTGCTATAATGTGCTATTGGGAGTGCTAGCGTAACAATGACCATGGCTAACAGTAGTGAGGGATATCCGAACCGGTCCTTGGCTCCCCTTCACCAACCCGCACAACTCGGCGTGGTGAAGTACCATCCAGAAACTGCCCACGACCAGCACTGTGTGGGGAGGCACTTATTCAACAGTGGATCTACAGAGCTGTAATTTATATGTAATTTTTTTATTGATTTGAAGCTTTCGTGACTGCAGGAATCCACCTACGTGACTTGACCGAAAGAACCAAAGAGTAATTTTGTATTAATATAGATTACTGTTATATATAGTGTATTATTGTGTGTGTATTCACGATTCTCTTTTTCCTTCCAGAATCTATTGTATGTGGGCTCCATTAGCTCCGTGCTACAATTGCCGCTCGCAAACTGTAGCCGTTACCGGTCCTGCCTGGACTGCTTGCTCGCTCGAGACCCCTTCTGTGGCTGGGACAAAGCAGCTGGTGCCTGCTCCAAAGTGCCTCAAGCCAGTCAGCACCAGTAAGGGCACATTAACATACAGCTGACATGTGCCACCTGGTCTCATATACACTGCTGTTGGGTCAAGCGTAGAGTCGTTAAAATCGTTAGTTTTTTGGCATTACTGGTAACCATGTAAATTGTATGGTGAAAAGCACCCATTCCTAGTTTGCACCCTCATATAGACATGCCTGGCGTTAATAATACAACATTTATACCTGGGCTCGCAATCTATAGTCGCCGGTTCAATTCCATCCCGCGGCGTGGCAGTTGAAACAACAGGACAAGTTTCTAAAATCCGCCCCTGCCTCTCTCCGCCCAACAGTAGGTCACACGTGGTGGACTAAAGTGTGCATATTGCCCACAACTTGTTACTAAAATTCCACTGATGTTACCGGTTCCTGCCGTTCGGAATCTGTTATCAATCTCAAAACGGTTACTAGTTCGCCGGTTACTATTTACCAGTCTCTGTCCAAAGTACTGCAATTTATTTACATTTATTCATTAAAATATATTACCTGGAATATCACCTAACATTAAATACCTCATTTGTAATCTTGTTCCAGGTGTCAAGTGATGTGTAAATACCACACATAATGACACATGTATAAACATTTTAAAATCTACTTCGTCTACCGTTTACATTTATACAATGTCAATTTATAAATACTAATATACAGTGTCAAGAACAGGAACGAGAGAGCCAAGGCACATGAACGATGAAGCACATTCATCATTATGGGGCACACCGCCAGTTCGTATATAATGTTCCCTTGCATTCTATTGTCTCAATGTTGTTGAGTAAGCAGAAACAAATTTCGTGAAGCATTTTTGACATGTATGAAACTGCTTTTTTTATCACCATTTTTTAAGAATTATGTATTTTTATAACACATTGTGTACACAATTGCTTGTTCAATGAAAGCATGCACTGATGCTATGTTGTTTTAAACTTTTGAAAATGTATTTATTGTACAAAGAGGAAGGTCAGGTCCATTATTCAGAGAATCTACGCAATACGCCAATGTAGATGTAATTTAATGTGGGTGTGTGCGCTGTTTCCTGTACTAGTAGAAGCGCAGTGCCTCGTTTTGATACCATTTCTGCATCCGTGGGTTCAGAATTTTTCATGTCACGAGGCTAATGGTTTTTCAAGTTGTTGACGTTCGGAGACGATCTGCTATTTTTACGTACAGCACCACAGCTAGCATGCTGTGTCACAGTGGACGTCGGTCTGACTCGACACTGCCATTATTAAAAATAACAGTAACACCATTGCGAGGCTATGTGCGGGTCAACACAGGCATAACTTTGAAATGTGTTTTCGAGTTGTGCCGCATGTTATTCGGCATGGTGTCCCAACATTTAACCTTACTTGCTGGGAGCTTCTTGAGCAACTGACTAGAGGCTCCCAGCACACGGAGAGAAACATTGTGCTGAACAATGCACGCGATACAATCTAAAAACACATCGGAGAGCTATGAACGCAACTGCGGGACCCCTGCACAGCAGTCACACGCTTAGTATGGAATGAGGTCAGCTTTGCTGGTTAGTAACATTAAGGATTCATGAAACCCTAATTAAAAGCTTTTCCATCGATTAATTAGTGGCCAGGTGCAGTGCAGTCGTCTTGGGTGCCACATGTTCGCTTTCGTGACGATAAGTGCTTTGAGAAGCATTGTTTAGTTGAGCAGAAAGATGTGTGGAACATTGGGCTTTGGTCACATGTTATTTTTGTGAGAAACTTATTGCGCCCATTATCGGTGCACATAACATAAATGTTCCAAGTTATTTGGTCGCTCTTTTAGTCTAGTTTAGGTGCAGTATCCTTCTGTCGCATGCTAGTAACCAGTGGGCGATTTTTTTTTATTTTTTCAAACTGTGGGTGCATCTTTGTACGTACCATACATGCATGGCAGCCAGCTCTGCAGTGGTTCACGCATTGAGCCTACAATCCCGATTTGCTTGGTTCAATTCACAGCCACGGATAGCATCAGTGGCAAGTGATATCCTTAAATGAGTGGTTCCTCGTGCGGTGTGTAAACATCAGAACTGGAGAGACGTTTCGGCACTTGAGGGGAGTGTGCTTTGCCAGCCTTAATAGATGCTCAATGGGCTCACCTTAACCCCTTAGCTGTATGTAAATATAATAGCAAGTGGCATGAATAATTAAACAAATTTTAAGATACATTTATGCATCCAAGAAGTTTTTACTTCTTTGCTATTTCATGTGAAATGTAGCCTGCATATGCACATTTTCCCCATCTTTGCAACATTGTAAGATAATTTCTGGTCTGTACATTTATTAAATATGATTGTAGACACGTCGGTGCAAACGTGGTATTTTTAATGAACTGCTTCGTTTATAGCACACAATGACAGTAAGGCGTAAGTTGGTGTTCATAGGCATGGCAATAAATCAAGGCAGGTGCATGAAAGTATTCGGCTGTGAGGTTATATGGCGTGCTTCATCTCAGGGGAAGAAATGGGGCCCATGTGTGGTTCAGCGGCTTGCTTTCCCCAGGCTTAGATTCACTACTGACAGCCAATAAGCTGAACCGTACCCACACGCAAGGGGGGGTTGGGGGCAAGGGGGGGAAAGCGCATCTTGAGAGAGAAAAACACATTTGGGGTTCAAACACCTCAGCTGCTGGGATGTCCAGTGTGGGAACGGATTTGAGCGTCGCGTGCGTTTGCACTGAATGATTGCAATAGTCAGCCCCTCCCATCTCCTCCTTCAGCACAACAACAAAAACTCGAACGCGGTCCAGCCCTCCTCTTCCTCCGCCCTTTCCCCTCCATCTCCCTTCCCCTGCTAGTGTGTATAAACAGCCGCCCTGGGACTTCTGGAAAATCTCTCGGCTGACCTCGCTACTGGCCTCCCACCCCTCCCACCCGTTTTCCCTATTCCCATGGCCTTGTTCGTTTTTTTCTTTCTCTTATTTTTCACAATTTGGCCAGAGTGTGTGTAATGACGTCAATGCACAGAGACCCTGCAACGGGAAAAGGAAGTATTAAATGTTGATGATAACTTTCTTGATTTAGGCAATAAGCTAATGGCCATTAAATTTACCCGATATGTAAGATTTGTATTTTAAGATTTTGAAAGCTTTATCCCAACTCATTATTACTATTATTACAGAGATTTAAGAATACTTAAGCAATTTTGCATGAATTAAAGTTTAAATTGCTATTTTCAATTAAAACAATTGCATTGGCTCTGTTATATCAAAACAATACACCTTATTTCGACTTGAGTATAAATGTCCACAATCTCATCGTACAATATTCCTAGGTGCTTCGTAAATGATAATTTTAAGAATGGCCCTTTGGTATGGTTACTAGTAATACTGCCGAATATGCCTTGTAAAATAAATAAATGTATGTTGTATCAATAGGCTGTCACTATATTTGAAGAATGAATCATTCCCCCCCCCCCATTTTTTGTGTTCATTAGCATATGTATTCTGCATTAATCCTAATACTAGATTCATACATCCATCGTTTGTTAGATGTATAATGATTGAAGTAATTATTTTTAATTGGTGACTCATTACATGTAATTTAATTGGAGTTAAAGCATAAGCTCAAGTTGTTTTCAATTATAATTATAAGGAACAGGCATTACATAAAAACCTACAAATATACACATTATAATGAGACGACTTTTACAAACTGCTTAATGTCTTGAACAGATATTTTATTTTTCGGGAATATTTCGAAAAATATGGACAATAGGTAGTTTTTTGCACACTGCACTGTGAACCTGGCGACTCGAGTTTGATTACCTGCCACGGCTAAGTGATGTCTGAACCATTCCAGGATCGTTCATCTCAACTCACACGAACTGAAGTATGGTCAAACAATTCCTATGACGGATACAGGGTGTGAGAGAGGCCTTCATCCAGCAGTAGATTGACGAAGCGCGATACATTCTGAAAATATACTTTATCGGTACCTTTTTTTTTGTTCTCGTGAACTTGATGATGAAATTGCCTTTGAGATAAGGCGTTTCCTTGCATTTCCCTAGTGCCAGCTGTTTGTGCTAACAGAAAAATTCTGGACACTCCGGAAGCGCACACGAGCACACGCAAAATGTAACGAGGGCAGATAACGGCTTGCAGCTTCCTCACGCACACGCACATGGGCCCACATGGCATTGTCCAGGTCACTTCCTGCCATCCATGGAAGGGGCAGGGTTGTAGGGTGTGGGGGCGAGAAGGGAGAAGGGGGCGGTTAGTAAAGGTAATGTCAAATGCGCATTTCCAGCCTTTGTTTAAATTGCAGGAAAAATGAGTTCATTTGTATATCCTGCCCCTCTTGATTTTGACATGGGGACCCCAGGCAAGGGCTTGAATTGCTTTGCTGTGTGTTTACTTCAGTAAAGGTCCCTCCAAATGACCAGAAATTGTTTGTTTGTTTGTATTGTTAACATGAAAAAAGACGGGCACTTCTATAAATATTTAGAGAGTTTGCTTATGCCATTTTATAATTTATCTTGCCAACTAGATAAGACTGCAAAATGACTAGTTGTTGATAGTTGGGCTTGTATCTGATAGAGAGGTGTTGTTTTCCAAAATTGTTCACTGCAATAGTTACGTTATTTGCTTTATTCTGCAGTAATAGCACAACCAAAGGGTTGCATGCGCAAGTATATACTGTATAATATTAAAAGTTTGCATTGTCATTCGTATGGTACTGTAAGAAGGTCATATTGTTTTACCGTAAGTTGTGGTTAAATTAATTCCTTGTGATGTGATTTTGTTTCCCCAGGAGGTATCAGTAAATGTCTTGTTTAGTATGAAAAGGTGGACAGACAGGCGTAATGTTGATTCTTTTTTGCTTTTGCATTTTTACAGAAGCGGTTTTCTGCAAGAGTTTAATGTCAACAATATTGCTGCACGTTGCTCTGCTCAAAATGGTACGTGCCGAAAAACACACACCACTATATTAAAACTACTTTTTATCTGGTCTTAAATATGTATGTGGACAGACCTGTATTTATTTTTGGGGGAAATATGCAAAATCATGCCTTGGTTACACTTTTTCAGTCATTTGGGAAGTTCTTTCATTGTGATAATTTGCGATTTTAACTACACGAATGTTTGAAGTTTTTGTTAGTAACGAAAAGATGAAAAACTTGCCCCATTTTATCTTAAATGAAAGCATGTGTGTAATGACGCAGGCTTGGGCCGACTATGGGGAGAGTAAGGTGCATGGAACATTGCCAGCCTCTAAATGAATCCTTCGATTCGTGGCAATGTATGCCATGTGCATTTCAAATGGATATTTGTGTGTATGGAGGCTGCCGGTGTATAATGGTTGGTACACTGGTCTTGCAATCCAGAGGTCACGGTTCAATTTCCATGTGTGGCAGTTGAAACAATGTTCAAGTTTCTTAAATCCCCCCACCTCTTTGCACTCAACAGTATAAATGGGAACACCACAGTCGCTCGGCAGGTTGCGTGTGGTGAGGTAAAGTTTGGGTACTCCTATTTCGACAACAAAACAGGTGTTAAGATGTTAAAACACCAAACTGAAACCTTTTACAAGGAATCACGTCTGCATTAACCACAATACTTGTGGTCAGAATGCAAACAAAAAAACATACTCTGATAATATGATGCATTGTCCTTGAAACTGATTGGTCCACACCAGAGACAGCTTTCTTTTGAGTCGAGTCTCAAACTGTGTTAGACCAGAGGACGCCAAAAGGTGTGGACCAATCAGTTTCCAAGACAATGCATATATTATCAGTGTGTTTTGTTTGCATTCTGACCACAAGTATTGTGGTTAATGCAGACATGATTCCTTGTAAAAGGTTTCAGTTTGGTGTTTTAACATCGTAACACCTGCTTTGTTGCCAGTAAAAAAATGGGAAAACCTATTCTCATATTTTGGTACTGGCAAAGGAGGTCCCATGATGATACACTCCTACTTCTTTTAAGACATCTGGCCAGAATGGAAGAGTATTCAAAATATCGTCTAGAGGGGGTCTATATAGAACTCCCGCTAGTTGTGAGCAAGTACATTTCAGGGCTACACCTTTACTTCTTACGTGTTTCTGTATACCTTCGTTTTTCTGCATTCTCCATAAGTTAAACATAATTAGATTTGTCCAGTTAAACGTAATTAGATTTTTCCATTAAACACATTAGCTAGAGAGAGCTGTACTCTCGTGCCCTCCAGAGAGACTCATGAACTCCGTCTAGAGGAGGCCCTTGCGCGAGCAATAGTGCGAGCAATAGTGCGAGCAAGTCACCACAGGGCTGCACCTTTTTGCGACAGCGTGTTTCCTGCATTTCATATGTATGTGTAACGCATATATTCTTTATTTTAGCAGAAAAAATGGACACCGTGTTTGTCGCCATTCCTATTGGGGGCGGCTTTAAATTGAGCTGCGAGCTGCGATCCAAATTGGCGAAGGCGACGTGGCTCCACAACGGCAAGGCGCTGGCCCCAGCGCAGGGCTCAGAGTTGCGGCCGGACGGTCTTATCGTGGTTTCATCCCGGTACGACAACTATGGGACGTACGAGTGCTTTTCAGTGGAAAGTGAGACTTCTCAGCTGGCCGCACGGTACCTCGTGAACATCACAATCGACGGCGGTAGTTACAATCCACTCACGCCCGAACCTCGCAACGAAAAACATACGAGCACGGTGGTGGTGGTTCTGTCCCTGTTTCTCGCCACTGCGATCCTCGCCATCATTTTCCTCTGCTACATGCTGCTCAGAAACAGGCAAAATTGCAACCTTTCCACGGTGGGCTGCGGAGCCTCAAAGTCACCCAACGGCGGCATCCTGGATTGCTGTTCAACGCCCAAACGTGGACCGAACGGACACCACCATAATGCTCCCGTGTTCTACAGCAGTCGTGAAAGCATCTTGGACAAGCTGAAAGGTCCTGGAACACCAACCAAAAACTTGGCCAAAGACTTGGAGCAAAATGCGATACCTAAAGGTCCAGAGTCAAAGCCATTTATTATCATCGCAGACACATCTGGGCCAACAGCTGAGACCTCAATATGAAAGTTTTTCTCTTTTGATTCCCACTTGTGCTTGTTCCAAGACCTCGGACCCATTGGTGATATTGGGCGACAGTGTTTACAAGTCACTCTGCCTTGAGGCAATGTCCATTTCTTTAAGATCATATTCTTCTCCACCTGTACTTTTGGAGTGGTCATTGGTTGACCGGAACACAAGCCACGTGGTCACTGGAAAACGCTTGCAGTTTCCTCGCAAAGTCTCAGGTCTGATGGGAGCAAGAGCTGGCGGGGGGAGTATGCACATTGGATCAGGTGTGGTTGACAAATGAGTTGAATGCCTATCTACGTGAAGGCAGTAAAATATCCCAAAGCAAACCGAGACTTTCATCTACATTTGAAGATTATATGGACGGCTGTAATGAAACACATTGGAACTTTTAAATGTTGGCTTGGAATTATGAATGGCTGAAGCATACGAACTTGATCAGGCACTGATTGCCAAGTAGGAATGCTTGAATACAGAGCTGTGAATCAAATAATGATTCAATCACGGACACAACCTGTGCATTTGTTCTCTTTATGAAATGTGTTCCGTAAATTTCTAGAACAGCAAGCTATAATCACTGAAATGCATTTATATTCCATTCAGATTTCCTGTAAAAGTTAACGTCTGCTTCGAGACACAATGTGGCCTTTACAGTTTGTCATTTAGAACTCTGCACATATGAAGTCGAAAGCAGCCTGAAGGGGGAAACGATATGTGGCCTTGCGGAGTATTGTTGCTCTTTTCTGTAATGACATTAATATTTAGAGGCGGAATAAAAGCTCACATATAACTGCATCCACAGACAGAGACGTCACGTGAAAGCTATAACCAAGAGCTCCATGTCTGCGCTGTTGGCATGTTTTTAGTTTCGAACTAGGGCGCACAGTCAACATTGTGAAGTGGTCTATCTTTGCTCAGAGGTGCCTTGGGGGCCAGAACCCTGTGGTGTGAAAGGACGCACAGGGGTCGGGGGTAGAGCGGAAACATGGAGAAGCGCTGAGCTTCTACTGCAATGACCGCCCCCATGGGGCCCCGGCAGATGTGGAAGTTTCCCACACCGGGATGATGTGTCGCTGGGCCCCACAAAGCAGATGCCGTCTTGCAAGCCAAATTTTGATGGGGAGGGCATTTGTTCGCTGAGGCCGACAAATAATTTTGCTTTGTTGTGGAGTATCATGCATAACATATCAACAGTCTTCACATGCAAATATGTTTTAATCATTGGCCTATTGCCTTTCCATTCACATGTTATCCAGCAGCATTTGTTTAAGCAAGCAAACTCTGGACCGATTCAACATTATGGAAGATGATCCACAAGGTCGAAACTGGCCTAAAGTTTGCTTGATTAAACATTCTGCTGGATAAAATTGTCTTATGTGACCAGGGTTGTGTGTAGGTAATTTTTGTTGTCGACAGATTGAACTGTCCGTGCTTTGAATGAAAACTGTTCCATATGCGGTTTTGTGTCTTTCCCATTTTGCACATTCTCAGGACCAATGATCCTTTGTGTATTAATGTACTGTACCTGGTTACTTATGGGAACATTTGATTGCATACACTGGTAGAGGTTGGTTTTTAAAGGGGATGTACATTTTCCTGATCACAATTTTTTTATGCTGTAACATGAGTGCAAACGTAATGCATTAATTTAGCTGCCAAATTATCCAGTGATAAATACGTGCCAGATATCTAGGCTTTATTTAGTATAAAAAAAATCTGAATGCGATGAAATTTTGTTCAAAGGAGTGGTTCATTTTGGTAAAAAAAAGTGGCCCACAATTATTATAGTCGCCTTTGATAATGAAAACCTTGTAAAAAAAACCTGTATAAATCCTCGAATCCATTACCCATGGGAGCTGTAGGGATATGAGAACAAGTATCCATGCTCTTATTCTCCCCATTCATTTTTTTCCACAGCCTTAGCCTTTCCCATCTTGCATTGTGAAATGGATTCCTGTTCTAAGCAATTTTTATTATTGCTGTTAATTGGAGTCATGTAGCTATTACCCACGGAATAGCTGTCGGGATTGCCCTTACATTTTTCTGTGGCATAACTCCAATTATCTGCAAGATTTTTCACGGATAAGAGTTCATCAGGAAATTCATGCTATCTGCGATTATACATTATTACATTCTCCCTGTGGATAAGTGTGGTAAACCCTCCACAGTTAAGTGGAGTCCTGTTGTAACTGATGTCTCAAACACGGTGCATCTTTGATTCGCAGCACTGTAGTGAACTTGTCATTTTTGACTCATATTGAGTCACTTTCACCTGAACGAGGCACAATTCCAGCATGACACGAAAGTATCTATGCCACATTTTAATGAAATATATATTTTATAATGGTCTTTTCATTAACCCACCTGCCCAACAAGTTGTATAACTCATTCTAGCTTTTAAAATATACATTTTACATGGCTGTATATATTTTATGTCACGTAAGTGAAGCAGTCACCTCAATAAATTCCATCTGTGAACTAGCTAATTGTAATTAGCCTTTTAACACATGTGCAGTTATTTAAGCTCTCGTGTAAATACTGTCGTGTAAATATGCACAGAATTCATTGTTACATGGGCTATTGAGCGTAAAAATGGCATTTGCTCGGTGTTCATTTATAGCTAAATATATCAGCCTTAACTGCGCTAATATGGTTGGGCACGTCACATGTCTAATAAGCCAGTCTGAAATAAAGCACACTGACCTAATACTGCAATGCATCGATCGGTGAGCAATTTTCACAAAATTGGTTGTCAATCTACTTACAAGAAATAGTGCCCGTGCATATATAGCCAATATGCAGATAAATAGTTGCCTTTGATGGAATAGGTAATTGTATCACTCCAGGGAGGTAATACAAAATACAAATAAATCAGTTTTAATAATTAAATACTATGTTTGCATGTTAATTATCTTAAACCTGTAGTTTACAGTGTCTAGAATTGACACTGATTGAAGTGTCAATTGGATCATAATTACGTAGTTACAGAACTCTTAACCGTGACAATATTACCACCGACTCCTATTGTTTCTGAAACACCTATTATCCGTGGACCTATTCTTGCTATTATCCCAAAAAATCCCACGGATTAGTGGGTTAAAATTGCACCTAACTGTGCGGATAATAGGATCCATGATGATATTGGCTCCCCACATCGCCACGTATAAGAGGAGCTCTGTATCATTGTAAGCATCAACACTTTAAAATTGCACACGCGTTTGGTTGTTGGTCTTGTGAATGCATTGGGGCACAGAAGAACAATAAAACAATGTTTGTTCTTCACAAGGATTCGATTACAATCTGACGACTGAATTCATCAACTTGTCTATGTATTACACATCTGATTGCATTTGTATCTGTACAATACTGTATGTATAGAATGTTCAAGGTGGCGGTCAAACAGGTTTGTATCGTACATGTTAAAATTATTTTTTATAAAGATGTAAGGAGTTGTATTTTGTCCAGCAGTACTGTAAATTGTTGGGTTGTGGTTTTGTAATTTTAGAGCTTTTTCCTAAATAAATATTGTGGTTTCAAGATTGTTACTTTAGTGTGTTTTTACTGTGGCTGTGCATGTTTTTCCAAGTACTGTTGCAACCAATCACTCTGTCTGTAAATAATGTATTCAACAATACTGTATGCCCCATATCCCTGCATGGGTAGGCATGCCTTTCAGAACAACAGATGCTTGTGTTTGACGATTGACTTGATAATCAGCCATGAGGAAGTGTCTACAGGTGTCTTTTTAAATACCACATTGATGGCACGCCAACTCTAAGCAGAAATACTCTACCGCACGTGCTTGTGGTGTCAGCGACGCTGCTGTGACGACACGGTTGGCACACTGGACTTGCGATCTAGAGGTCGGCATGTTTGATCTCTGGGCACTAAAAGTTTGAAACGATGGTGCAAGTTTATGAAATCCCCCTAAATACACGCATATATAAAACAAAAACGAGACATTCTTCAATGACACGGTCTTAAAATGAGAAAAATATAGCAAAAAGTGATGCTTCGGGCAATGACCATTCTTCATGGCACAGTGAGTGCAGATAGTGAATAAGAGTTGGTGACTGCACAATCTGCACTCAGCAGTATAAATGGAGACACTGCTGTTGAGCAGTAAGTTGTGTTGGTGTAGTAAAGTGGGTACTCACAACTCTTCAAAGATGCATGGCCAGCGTGAAAGAGAAGGCCAAATACCTGACTGAGGGGTTCTCTAAGTGCTCCTGCTAGTGGAAGTTCAACCAGCAGTGGCATGAGAAACACATTTCAGGGCTGCACCTTACCCTGTCTTCGTTTCTGCCTTCATGTTAAACTGAATTTTTAATTGTTAAATAAAAAAATATATAATTTTGAGAGAGGTCTATTGTAAGCAATGTATTGCCACTTAACTGGAGAAAATTATTAAGTATGAATTGCTGTGAAATGTTATGAAATGTATATATTCCTATTAATGGAAACCTCCAGACCAATGATTCATGTTATACAGTACACGAGGACTTTCATCCGCAAAAAAACTTCCGTCATATGCAGCCCCTATTCCTGTTACCCATTTTCCTGAATATATTGCGAAGCGGCTTCCAAATACTCGATTTCTTTCCATGATAGAAAGGAGTTGCGTAGCAAGTTCTTCCTATTCGTGGAGTTATCCGTGAAGAAAATTACCCCGTGGATAAGAGTTAAATCGGGATAATTGGATTCGCGATATTGGTCCCCCATATCTGTGGATAAGAGTTCTGTCCAATCACATGTACCACGACCTGCGTAGCATGGCGAGGTCCTCATCCAGAAGTTAATTAACAAATATGCTGTGCATGAATGTAAACAATACATTGCAAAACACGGTGGTCATAGAAAATGGTGACTTGCCACCTCCATATTTTGATAAATATTTTATTAGATTGTTTTTTTTCAATAATCTCAAAAACAATTTAATACGTTTAGCTGAAAGATGTTTTTTTTTAAGAGGGACGTTTTGCTGGTACACGATATGTTTACATTTATTTTGGCATGTTTAGCCTTGTAATTTCAACACTGGTTGAAGCTGGGGGGAAATTTCATTACCAAACAGCATTGCCAATTGGGAAACCATTTCAAATTTGTTTTCACAAAATATCCTCCCGTTTTATCGCATCGTTCAGATTTGTTTTGCTCCAATATTGCCTGTAGACAGCATCTTCCTTCATGTGTCTCTGTGCTCTGTGCACAACCCATTTTTTTCCCTTTCCAGCTTCAACAAACGCCAAGAATAAAGTAAACAGAGCAATTTCCTGTATGTCTGCCAGATAGTGTCGATCCAGCTTGCAACGTGGCTTCAGCGGTAGAAGCTGAGCTTTTTAGGAGGCAGAATAGCTGCTGTTAACTAAAATTAATTGATCACAGGGTAAACAGCTGAGGATGTTGTCATGGGGTATAACGGTTAGCACACGACACAGTTGGATCTCCCGGTGCAGAAGTTGAAACAATGGTGCAATTTCTTAATTCTACCCGCCTCTGTCTACCCAACAGCATAAATGAGTATCCCTAAGTCGATCGGCAGCTCACGTGTGGTGGGGTAAAGTGTGGGTACTCCCAGCTCTTCAAATATGTCTGGCTGGTGTAGAAGAATAAGCCAAATACCCTCTCGAGAGGCTCCAGAGGCAGTGTTCTTCACTCATTGCCAGAGGGTGGGAGGGGGGGGGGGCACTTTTTGCCGATAGGAGATCATCCGTGTGAGGGACGCCACACATTTTAAACCATTGGGTTTGACAACATGATGGGGGTGTTGTCACGTGTTGTGTATTGTCGGGGGCCACACGTCAGGGGGCGCACGAAAGGCCACCAGGGGTGGCCAGTGGCCCGTGGGCCTTGCAATGAAGAACGCTGCTCTTGAGCCCCTTTGAGTCCAACGTCCTTCCACCAGCAATGGCCCGAGAAAACCCTTGGAGGGATGCACATCTACCGTTTAAAGCTGAAATAAAGCAATGAGTACCTGGAGATGACGCAAATAGTTTACAGAATTTTCGCGTAGGTTATCCATTCGATGAAACACTGCTGAACATTTACATTATCTAGGTAAGCTGCTTGAGAGTTACGTACTCGTGCAACTCATTTCGGTGAATAGACTTGGCAACATGGAGTCCAAAACTATTCCCTTACATGTACGAGAGTTAGACGACCTTTGAGCCACCTGGTGGTCAGGTCAATGCACACAGCTGGTCCCACAGATCACTGGATTGAAATCTAAGCGGCTGCCCGCGATTAACCCGAAATGTCGAGCGTAGTACTACGAGTTGATGGTGTCAGCCTGGTAAGCAATTATTGCACGGGTAAAAACGCTCACTTAAATTTGGTTCTGCAGTTAATGCGGAAAAATTCCAGCCTTGAGAATGAAAAATGTTTCACTGTCATGCAAAGAGCATTGCTGTTAGCGGCAAAACAGGTGGGAAATTGCCACCCATGACTGTTGGGGACCAGAGGTCACTTGAAGGGATCTCAAATGGATCTGCTTCCATGAACCATTCTCCAACAAACGTTTTTTTTTATCTCATGCTATGACGTCAGAAGCATATTCGGGATATAAGCGGAAAGAAAAAAAACGTCTAAAGGCGTACGAATGTATGTTTGACTTCTTTCGCACCATACACGATGTCAACCGTGCTTAATGGGAGGTGCGAAGGAACGACAAAAAACTAAACACAAAAAGCAGTTCTAAAGAATAGTAGGCAGCGTGAATCATGTTGCATCGGTAGATGTTCACAGTGCACCTCTCTTGTTCACATTACTACAGTATCAAAACATACTCTGATCATATATGCATTGTCTTTGAAACTGATTGGTCCACACCAGAGACAGCTTTCTTTTGAGCCTCGTCTCAAAACGGTGTTAGACCAGAGGACGCCAAAAGGCGTACAGCACAAAGACAATGCACTATCAGAGTAATGAGAGCTCGGGGTGAGAATCTACATCATGGGACCTCCTTTGCCAGTACCAAAAATATGAGAAAAAGTTATCCCCTTTTTTCTGGCAACAAAACAGGTGTTAAGATGTTAAAACACCAAACTGAAACCTACAAGGAATCGTGTGGACCAATCAGTTTCAAAGACAATGCATATATTATCAGAGTATTTTTTTTGTATTCTGACCACAAGCATTGCAGTTAATGCAGACATGCTTCCTTGTAAAAGGTTTCAGTTTGGTGTTTTAACATCTTAAGCACGTACACCAAGCTCTTAAGGCTAATGGTTACTCCGACTATACAATCCGCAAAGCTATCACTCAAACCATGAAGAAGGACCCTCTTGAGGGGCCTTTCAAAACCATCACTTTACCCTACATTGCGGGGATCACAAAAAAGATCTCCAAAATCTTGAATAAACACAAGATCCAGGTCCGTTTCAACACATTACATAAAATCCGTGATCTGGTTCCATCTGTAAACGATGTGATTCCGGACATACAGTACCCTGGTGTCTACAAACTAAGTTGCCTCTGTGGTAGTAGTTACATTGGAGAAACCAAACGACATGTCTCGGACCGCATTCGTGAACACAAAGCAGACCTTAAACAAGGTAGGACCAACACCTCGGCCGTGGCAGATCACTGTTATAATTCAGTAGGCTCACATGGCATTGACTTCTCCAAGACAGAGGTTCTTTGCAAGCCATCTGGCTACCATGAGAGATTCGTTCATGAGGCTATCCACATATACAAACACAGCGACAATTTCAACCGAGAAGATGGATTCTGGCTTAGCAATCATTGGAAAGATTTGATAAATCATTTCGGGTCTGAATTGATTGTTCACGCTTATGGTGGCTTTCAGACAGCATACATACATTTTTCGTCTCCCCCCTCCTCTTTTCCGAACATAGATGGATTTGTCCATCTGAACAAACTGTCAAATCGCTATCCGTGGTGCTAACGTTTAAAAATAAATAAATACAAACCGCCACTTCTTCCAAATGTTCTTGCCGTTAGTTTTCACACCTGATGATGACTGCTTGTGTTGCAGTCGAAACGTCGTGAGAATTTTACTGTTTTATATATATATTATTATTTTATTGTTTCCCTTCAACGTGACTTTACCGAAAGAACCAAGAATATCTTAACACCTGTTTTGTTGCCAGAAAAAAGGAGAAATCTATTCTCATTACTACAGTATTTACTATATTTTGCTGTGGGGCAGTTTGTATGTATGTTGAACTTTTTTCGCACCGTACGTAGCCAACCGTTCTAATCAAAAGTGCAGGGAAGGGCAACGAACTCAACACAAAAAGCAGCTCTAAAGAAATAAGTGTTAAATCTAAAGTGCAGAGCTCCAGTGGCTTCTGAATATCGGAAGGGTGTTCCAGACAACCACAGGAGCGCATGTGAAAGCGCTCAATGTGGTGACCGTCTTTGTTCGATGGCGAGCCATAAGACGCTGCAAGGATTGACAGGAGTTTGCGTGATGGTTTATTCTGCTTGACGATATCAGCGAGGTATTGTGGTTCATTTGTGGCAAGCACTTTGTGTGTCATGAGTAAGGACCTCACAATGGTATTCGTTCGGCAGCCGGAAGCCAATGCAGCCCGGCGAAGCACTGGACGGACATGGTTGGATTTTGCAGTATCCGTCATGACACGTGCCAGAGTAATTATCATTACAAGCTGTTGGAACATGATCAAGTGCTGTGGGTTATAGCCACAATGGCCATTTGCTCCATTTGTGTATAATGCTGTTTCCTCCCCCAGCAATTAATCCGATTGTGCTATTGACATTATGTCATGAGATGAAGTCTGTACGGAACTCTCACGACACAGTGCAGCACCCTCTGTGGGACAATGACCCATAGAAGGTGGTATCACAGAAGTACTGGGATCCCTGAAAGGGACCTCCTATCCACTCTACAGGAGCTGTACTTTTCCCTGTGCCCTGCTATGTTTTTTAGCCAACTTAAGAAAAAAATCTAATTTTAAAATATGCTTGTTTTGTGCAGTCATTGGTGGCTGTGCTGAGAACATTAACTCACTACATTTTAGAATCTGGGAGCTCCTTGGATTGAACCCAGTATTTTGGCTATGCTGACAGTTCTGACCCCTTAACCACCCAGTCACCTCACCCTTAGCAGTAATTTATTATGATCTGTGATGAAAATGCTAAAATATGCTCAACAAACACTAGTAAATACAGTCCATCCGTAATCACTCACCCATTAAAACGGAATTTTTTTAAAAAAACTGTATATATTGTACTTACACACAAAAACACGTTCTGCAAATATTGGGCATTGAATTGTGATTTAAATGTATAGGATAAACACGGTTCTGTACGATTGAAATGTGATGCTTTCTTTGGAGAACTAAGACTAACATTTTATTCTTTTAAGCACTTCATGCAAAGCTAAATCACAAATAGGTCTCCCTTCTCAATCACTTGATACTCAGCTCTCCAGAGCCTCTATCGGTGACGTTACTTTCACGCGAGGTGGCAAGAGCTGCATGGACTAACGTCATGTGCTGCGACAGCTATCTTAATGCTTTCAGGCTGTTCGTGGACTCATGCATTATGTATGATTTAACCATTTTCTCTGTAGTCATCTCTCACTCTCTTTTTCCCCGACCTCAAAGCTTAAATATCGTACAAGCGCGTGCAAGTGTAATCCATCGTGATGCATGAATATCCAACGCCTGGTTTAATTTATAAACCTTTGGCTAAAACCCTTTACCAATGTTAATAGGGAAAGGTTACCTTCAATGGTATACGTTAAAAATGAAGGTAATATTTATTTAACTTCTTTAAATAACAATCCCCACACTAATCTAATCCCATGTATGTGATTGACTTGTGTCCCGCTAAAGCGAGCAGCGGGCTTACAGGTAAAAGGCGCCTTGCGGAGCAGCAGATCGGAAGAATGCACCACATCAGCGAGTGTCTAAAATGTGATGAACTTCCTGTACTTTGCAGCAGTCAACTCCCACTGAGACCGCCGCCCGAGTAAAGTCACGAGGAACTGCTGGCCAGCCAGGTTGGGTGGCACACACTTGGCGAGTGGCATGGAAATTGAATGAGAGACGAGCGCGTTATCTTTCAGTGCAGACCCAGCTGAGCGTGCTCGGCAAATACGAGACGGTTACATTTGCGTCACCTTTCCCTTTCTGTTTAGAAGAAACATTTCAAAACACAGTGCAGGCGACATTATCAGAAACGGGCCATTAATTCTCAGCATACCCAGAGTATTGTTCCCTTTGTGAAGCCACCATGAGACCGATCCAGGACATTGCAAATTGTCACATTGTATGGCTTTGGTGGGTTTAGTTTAGTGAAAGTGTAAACGTAGCAGCCCTGTTGTTGGGGTGCTTTGTACAGAAACGTTTGCAGGTGACTAAAGTTGCACATGAATGGTTGGTAAATTACCTCGGTAAGATTTTCCATTGACTTAAATACGTATAGAAAACGATCAGATAATTTCACAATTTATGTGTTTACAGAACACCTGTTTCAAAAAATAGCTATTAAGTTGCACTAAAATATGGTAAATGTATTTCCAAAAGGAAATTTGTCCCCAAAGTTCAGTCTCCAATCACCTTTGGAAATGTGATGATGAACTGCCATGATTCAGACATGGGAAACAAGAATTCATTATTTTTGGTTTAACTCACGGTCATGCAGACTTGTTTGTTCCGAATGCCTAAATGTAATTGTATTATCTGTATACATTTAGTAAAAAAAATATAACATACCCGTATTCCCACACATGCCATGAGGTGCATGTATCGAAAGTCTTAAGACAATTAATAAATACAATGAAATACCCCTATGTTATAACCAATAGATTTATATCCACTAATTATCCAAAAATCTCAGGTTGTTTTGAAACGTACAGTATTGCATACTTAAGCTTATTTTGCGCATATTTCTAACCTCGTGGCAAATTAAAATTGTCAATGCATCCAGGATATGCATTGCTGCCCTCTGCAGGGAGTTGCTTTACATTTCGGGTGCAAGGCGAGACGATAGCCCTACAATACCCTCATTGAAAATGAAGGTTGACGAATTGCATATTCATTTTGCCACAAAAATAGTATCTATTATTGCCATGTGACTTATGAATGTAGAATTTGTAACGGCGCTCTTAAATATGTGCATGCTGATGACAAATACCAGTACTGCGTGTCTAAAGCCTCCTTGCCACTTGCTTCAACGGCCTCTGTGAGCATGGGGAACTTGGCAATTCAAATGCATTGCAAATAGATCAAAGTAACATTGCTTATTTGTTTTAGTTACAGGGCCATTCCATGTTGATACAAACAAAAGTATTTCTCAGAAAACAATGCTACGCAATGCAAGATCGGGTGGAAGGAAATGCGTGTCAACAACGGCACAGCAGATGAGTTACAAGAGCCCTTGAATCAAGCAGGAAATGTGTTTTTCATACCAACATGACTTTTATTAACGCCATGAGCATACAGTTTTGTTACATTTTCAAATATTCAATACCGATTGTTTTCATGTCGTTTAATCAAATTTGTTTATTGAGAAAACCCATCGTTTAACATAAAACAACAACATTCAGTTCGTAGATGTGTTCGATCAGGTTTAGTATATTCATGTACAGGATCAGGATACGCTGGCGTCTCCTTTGCTCGTCTCAACGCGGGCAGCAATCTTCTTCTGCATCTCGATATTAATGGTCGGTCGCTTGTTGGTGAAGGGGTGCCACATGCCTTGAATGCTGGGGTAGTCGGTGTGGAACGGTTTGCGGATCCGCACAATGTCCAGCCCCGACTGAGTGCTCATGAGCTTCACTCGTGACAGGATCTCCTCTGATGTCTTGCGTTCCACCGAAACATCTCGAACAGTGCCATTCACTGTAACGGAATGTCACGGAAACACGTACGGGGCATTAAACAACGATCCACTTGTATAATACAATAACTCGTGTGTGTGTGTTTTTTTTGTTGTTGTTGTTCAAAGATGTTCCGCAAAGTAATTATACTCACAGTACTCTGCAATCACCCTTGGTTTTGAATCTTTTCTCGGCACGACGTAGATGACCGTCGCCTTGTTCTGCCTTGCAAAGTCAACCAAATGGTTCTCCACGAAATCCCTGCAGGTGAGTACAACGCAAACGATTCGTACCCAATTGTTGACAGCCCAAGTGCCTGTCCAACAAGAAGTTGAACACTTCACTTATCCGCAAGCAACAAGCAGCAGATACTAATAAGCATTTGCCACCACTTCCTGGTGATTTATATTATCCAAGTATATAAATTGATAACGTAAATAATTTCACTGGGATAAGAGTATTTTTTGATAATTCAAGGAAGAGTGGCTAAAACACGGATAATCGGCAAGAAAAAAAAACGAATGCAGTTTTTATACTTTTTAACTCTTGTTCATAAGGCTCTTCAATAGGGCACAGATGTTTCCCTGCATCCGGACGAATGAAGGATACTTTGAAGCCAATGTGACGCTTGGATATGTTATAATTCGAGTGAAAAAAGTGTCGTCAATCCTTGTTACTCAATCACGAGGCATGAGTGAATAACAGCCGAGGACAACCCTCTGAGGTCTATCCTCAATCGGATGGTTAACAGCGACACCCAGCGTCCAATAACTCCATAGATTTTTTTTTTATATCCAGAAAAATAAATGCTATTTCCAATGACGAATAACACAGCTAAAACCATTTACTTTTCTACCTGTGAAAAAAAATCTTTATAGCTCATCGGATTTCTCCAGTAGAAATATTCTGATTCTAACCAATGTCGGTTGAATACCGATCCTAGATCAATGTGGATACAGGACAACTATATTATAAGTTACAATCTCCTTGCTCTCGCTCTCAACTTTGACCTGTACAGCAAGTTGTGAGTGCTGCCCCAAATCCCCATCGATGAACACTCAAGTTCATCTCTGATGAATCCAACGTTGTTTACGTAGCCCGACAGAAACGTGTCCTGCTAAATCGATACATCTGCTGAACTTCTGACCTTCTCGCAATTGTGGTGGTGGTGATGATGATGATTGGGGTATGATAACCCAGAATATATCGGTAGGTTCAAACCTAAAAGGTTTGCTACTGACCTACAGTGTTTGTAGCAGAAGGTCAGTAACTGCAGTTCCTATGCTCCTGCGACTACGCTCCAAGTGTTCACAAACCCGCACTGACCAGCGTGGTCTAGTGATTATATTCCTCGTGGTGATTTAACGATGATTGCTGTGGTGTTGATGGCTGATTTGCGGCTGCAGATTGGTTGTGGTCGGTGGTTGGTGGTGGTGATATGTTGATGGCAATCATTTACAACGGGATTAATAATGATTGTATCACGCCAGGGCACTAATGAGGGACAACGTTGTGAAGGATTGGAGAGGCCTTCATCCAGCAGTGGAGTGAACACGTTAAAGGAATCGCCTTGTGTCGTGTAGACAAAATAACCAAAACCAGCACCTCCGCCCTTGAATCTCCTAAACAAACCCCTTCTCAAAACCTTCTTTCGTTATTTCGGTAAATCACGTAGATAGAAGAAAAATTATAATAAAGTGAATAAAAATAAAATCTATTTTTTTTTATCAATTTTCACTTTATTTTCTTAGCTCTTTCGGTAAAGTCACGTTGAAGGGAAACAATAAAATATATATAAAACAATATTGGTTTTTCACAACTGATGACCGTTTGTGTTATGGTCGCAACGTCGTGAGAATTTTTATTGTTTCATATATATTTTATTATTTTATTGTTTCCCTTCAACGTGACTTTACCGAAAGAGCTAAGAATATGAATTACTGCAGTCACGAAAGCTTTAAATCAAAATGTTCACTTTATTTGTATTATTATTTTTTCTTCTTCTACTTCTTCTACCTACGTTGACTTTACCGAAATACCCAACGAATTATGAAGCCCTTCTCCTCCTCCTCCTCTTCCTCCTCCTCTTCCTCTTCTTCCTCCTCCTCCTCTGTAACGTCTCCCGCCTTCCCCGCCGTCTCTCACCTCATGTGCCTGCTCGAGTGCGCCTCCTTGCTGAGCACGAAGGTGACCCTCTGAAGCTGGCACACGAACCGGCCCACGCCATTGTGCAGCACGGCCTGCAGGAAGCGGCTCGCGGTGCCGCGTCCCGTCATCGCGTCCACCCGCTTCGACAAGCAAGTTCTCCCCGACGACGAACCGACGACAGCCGAACACACCGCACAGGCGGCGGCGGTGGTGGTTGTGGTGGTGTTGTTGTTGTGGTGGTGTTGTTGTTGTGGTGGTGGGAGCTCCGCTCTTGGTGCTGTTGGCTACAACTCGCACGGAGCGTGCGACACGACCGCCGCCGCCGCACGTGTTGCCTTGTGTTGTGTCCTGTGTGGGGCGGCGACCTGGTGGTGGGTGACGACGAGTGGAGCGATTATCACACCGCGGCCATATTACTCAGGGGGGGTGGGGAACGTGGCCACGTGACGAACAGCTTTGTGACGTCATAAAGCCGCCCCCCTCCCCCCCGCCCCCAGCTGGTGCCGTGGCAAGGTGATGCAGGGCGCGGGCTTCGCCACCCACGATGGCGATTCAGTCCGCGTCTCTGATGGAGGTGGACCTGCCAGTAGAGGGGTGGGGGAGACGATGTTTGTGCCGAGTCTAATCAACGGTTGAGTAAGGGGCCGTCCATAAATGACGTCACGCGATTTTTGACCCGGAGGAGAAAACATTTATCAAAAAGGCTATTTAATCAAGTAGAACGTCGTGAGAATTTTATTGTTTTATATATATTTTAATCATTTTATTGTTTCCCTTCTACGTGACTTTACCGAAAGAACCAATATAATAGAACGCGTTGTCTATATTTATTTAAAGTTGCGCATTTGATGTGACGTCACATTTCTCAACCCCCCCGTTAATATCGTCACAAATGTCTGACCCCCCCCCTGGATGCGTGACGTCATTTATGGACGTCCCCTAATTTGCGGGTAATGTTTCAGCATTGCGACGTTTGGCCAGGAACAGTACCAGCTCAGCTTGTTTTTAGCAATGGGAGGAACAGTATGTTGTCTCGAATCAACTTGCGTAAACTTTACAATGCACATGTTTGCTCTTGTTACTTGACTTTCGCGAGAGGTACTGTGCAGTTTTTAGCCTATTTCCTTTACCTACGCAAGATGGCGGTGTTGATTCACGCCACTTCGTCCCCCACCCCCCTACGCAAGATGGCGGTGTTGATTCACGCCACTTCGTCCCCCACCCCCCTACGCAAGATGGCGGTGTTGATTCACGCCACTTCGTCCCTCTCCCTACGCAAGATGGCGGTGTCGATTCACGCCACTTCGTCCCCCCCCCTACGCAAGATGGCGGTATTGACAGCTCACGCCGCTTCGTCCCCCCCTACGCAAGATGGCGGTGCCGATTCAAGCCACTTAGTTCCCCCACCCTACGTAAGATGGCGGCCGTGACTTAGTTGTTTTTATTTTTTTTGTCCGGAATTTAAAATTGCGTCACGTGACGAGCGGACTAGTCCGGGTTTAAAATCTCGCGTCATTGTCAATGGAGTTCCGCTTTTAAAGGGACGAAACCACGTGTTGTTGCATTTTGCTTAAAGACTATTTGGCCACCTGACGTAAATTGCAGGACAACGAAGATCTATATTTACTTTTATTTACGGAAGCTTAATTCATGCATTGCACGAATGTACGTACTTTTGTATTACATGCAAACACAAGTACGCAACGTCCAGCAACAAATTTTAAAGTTTATTCTTGTTGGACAATATTTACAAGTTACATTTGTCGTGGTTTTCTGAAGTATTTAATTGGTTTGTAGATTGAAAGTTAAATATTTGTTGGTCTTGTGACAATTACTGCAAGTGCCACAAATTAAATGGTGCACTTATTTGTAATCGATGCCTTAAAATCAATAGGTATATCTTAACAATTCCTCTAGAAGTTTGAGTGAATTAATTTGCCGTCGAGTTCTTACAATATATAACCCTTTATATGCTGTAGCGTATTACAACCGTACATTTTCCCAGGTCTGACTCGTAAAGACCTCAAAGGACTAATCGACTCCTTTCCCTGTGCACTCCGTCAAATGCGGTACATAGTGCAGCCTTGCTTTGGAAAAATGCAACCGCATAATACGAATGTCTTGTTTTATTATATACAAATGTATTCGACACGAATGACGTAAAATGCACACGACAAAGCTTTGAAAAGACAGTAACAGAGACTAAAATTTACAGTTCAGCAATAAGTTCATCAGGAAACTCGCTTTACCTTTAAAGAGTATCATCCACCAGTATGTAAAAGGTACGTCACTTAACCAGATTAGGCTCAGCCTTTAGCGTTGTAGTTAATCCTTGATAAAAACAGGTAGCATACATTGCTGGCAAATAACCCTATTTACATCAAGTGTCCATTCTGTTCAAGGCAGCATTCACATAGACTGTAATGTTTTAACATTGAGACATAACACTGTGATGCTGATAATTGCGGCAGGTGGTTATAATGATTGTGCTTCGTCAAAACAGTAATTGACATTTTACACAATGTTAATAATGTAACCATTATTTGGGTCTTTCGGTAACGTGACGTAGATAGGTTCAAATTAATACAAATAAAGAGGAAAGCATCTTTCCCCCTGTTTTCCTCCTGATGACGATCGCTTGTGTTGTGATCGAAACATCGTAGTTTTTTTTGTCTATTTTATTTGTATAAATTTGAACCTTTTTACGTGACTTTACCGAAAGACCCAAAGAATATGAATTCCTGCAGTCACGAAATCTTTAAGCCAAAATGTAACTATTGATAATGTAAATATAAATATTTCCAACGCGATTGCTGCTGCAGGCTTCAAGATGTACGACTCGCCAAAAAAACACAAATTGAATGTCAAGTCCATTGAACTAAGTGCATTTTTTTCTTATGACAATCGTCAGTCTTCACGTACATTTGCACATTTCAAATTTGCACTTTTACACTCACATATTTTATTACGATCAAACCATGTGTATACTCAACCCTAAAGGAGGCTCTTGATTCGTGGTCAAATGTTAGTGTCACATGTCAAGTCCAATTATCCAGGTTTTCAATACAATTTGGATTTATAAAGAGTAACTACAGCTGCATTTTAAGAAGCGGTACTAATTGCTAAAGGGTTTCCCTCGATACGCGATTACGTCAATCCTTGAACGGAGCAAAATGAAACAATGTTTTTGTACAAAAACGGAATCTGGTAGACAGCTTTAATTTTTTTTACAATGTACTGGTAAATTCTGCAGGCCATCTGCTAAGACGGCAAAAACAAACAGGAAAGTACCTGAACCAGCCAGAAAGTGTCTTTCGTAGTAATTAAGGTAACATTTTAAAGAGAAAAAGTGGTATATGCCCTCGAAAAATAGCTTCAATACACCACGTTAATAACATTGCACTCATTCCATAAAGTTACTCGCAATGCGTTTGCGTATGATTAAGGATGGTTGGAAAAGACGCAGGCTTTTTGGCTACAAAAAAAAACTTTCCATTTCATGTTCTCCATACATAATTTCCACTGGATTGTGTAAAGTGAAAAAAATCAAATTTGCTATTTATTATGCAAGGTGCTGCGTTCTTTACTTTATTTTACAACGCTTGAGCATAACGTGGAACCAAATACGATGTTGCAGTCGATCTATGGTACAAATAACACATGCCCATCAGGCGAGTACATATTTGCATTGTTTCATGTAAGCACGTTTTACATTAAGCGCATCATTTGACAAATCACACACACACAGCACAACAAACCACTTAGACCAGATCTACCTCTAGCTTTGTTTCAAAGAACTGCTTATTTACTTGATGTATTGCAAGGTAATATTACCAAGCCAATACAGAGGCAAGCTTTGTGCAATGCTGCATCACAAAATTCTGTTCTGGTCCTATAGCAGAAAAGGCGCCATATGTATTGTATATTCAGTAACACTGATCATTAGTGTGGAGAAGTATTGTATGCACTTATTTTCAAATACCAGTTGAAAAAGTCCATAGATTGTATAAAATGGGAATACAAGTTTGGCTAAATGTCTTTCCACATTTACAAACGTATGTATGCACTTCTGTAGCCTGCATCGTCTTGACCTGCCACTAGCCAATGCCTAGGGAATAAACTGCAGATACTTTTTCAGTTGCCAGTTCTGCTCAGATTCCAGAGATGCAATACAGCAAGGAGAAGCAATATTACCCCACTCAGTCAGTTCCATTCATATTCGTATGTAGCCAAACTCCGAACACTGCAGCAATGATACAACATGCTTTCAAACTAGTTTTCAGAATGTAAATGGTCCCAATAAACACTGCCAAGTGCATTTAGTGTTAAAGAAATGTGAGGTCTTCTACACACAGTTCACATTAAATATTTCTGAAGCACAAATGGAGCCAACGACTGCCTCCTCAAGGGCTTCCACTTTTCTCTGAATCTCGTCTGTCCTTTTGAAGTGCAGAAAAAACCTGGAAAACAGGCAACACAACCTATTAGAATGGATATAGGAACACTCCTAGGACATTCTGTTCATCATGACATTGTGAGAACTGGACATTGAAAGTTTGTGGCCCAAGGCATTACCTGGCTCCACTTTCCATGCTTATTTTGCATGTTGATGGTGCCAATGGCAGCAAACAGTGGCTGGGCGGCAATGTTGTCTGGCAGGCGAGTCAGAAACTGAGCCCCCTGCAGGAAGTCTGTGCTGAGCAGCACATCCTGGTACAGACGGAGTATGCCCAGTGCTGTGCGGAAAAGAAACTCTTCCCCATCGCGGCAAAAAACATCCCAAACTCGACATGCCACGTCCAGAGGCAGCGCCTTGCTGTACAGCGTAAAAATCCTGCCAAAACAGAGCATGGACACCTGAGCCATATGCAATTGGCTTTGTTATGTTACAAGTAGTGAAAATCAATAACGAAAAAGGTACATAAATTGCATAATACAGTGAGTACCTAAAATGTAAATTTACAATTAACTTTGTTTTGTGTCATGGTTTTTTTTTATTAAAACCTATCGGTTAAAATTTTACTCACAATCATCTGCACTGAATTACATCTGAACATCGCATGGCAAATGTGGCCATATCCTACACTGATAAAAACATAAGCATAGCCCACACTGACTGCGGTCATAATGTCTCACCATGAGCTACGTGCTCGTTTCAATTATTCACTAGCAGCATATCAGATATTCAACAGACTTCTACTCCTGAAGGTGTCCACTGGCTCACCAATACTGGCACGAACACATACGTTGCTGATCAACCCACCACAATGAAATATTTATTTTTTACATACCAGTCAATCAAGTACAAGTCAGGTGTCAAGTTGCTGGTCTTGAAGTGGCTGAATAACCTTGGAAGGTTTTCTTCAAAGAAGAGCTCAAAGGCTTCAAAGTATTTAAGCATCTGTAAATGATTTAAGGTCAAAATTACTCATTAATCCATTGTCCAGCAACACATTGTCTCCGTATAAAATTAAAGTATTACAACATTTTCATATTCCGAGGATGTTTATACAGTGTATATATCAATGTTATTTTACTGCAGTACATGGCATCTACGAAAGTTCAAGTAATTACCAACTGTGCCGAAAGCAACTACTGTAAAAAAATGCAATACTGCATTATCAGTGGTGCACAAGCAAAAACTGCCAAAATTCACCACATTAAACAATGATACTGCCCTAGAGAGGAAATATAGATCATAGGTTTAATTTCAGCAATGACCATTTGTCAGAGAAGGATGTTGTTGCACGTAAATACATCTATCACTTTGCAACCTTAGAGCTCCTGAAATCTAGACAGCTTAATAGAAAAGCACTTTAGGTGGTGCATAAGAGACCAGTGCTTATGAACACGCTTACACATTAGGAAGTGTAATTGACTTGTGCTAGCTTGTGTGTCTGACCAACTAACCTGGATATGCCCCCTCAATCTCATCAGATCTCAGAATCTAATTAGGATTGAGCCTTGGATTGTGCTTTTATGGGCAAATGGCTGTACATGCTAGCCCAGTAAGAAAGGGATGCACAGTTTCAGTTGCACAAACCAGTGGGTGGTCGACACGGAAGAAGGCCATCTGGCAGGGCTTGTTGAGGAGGTTGGCGAAGGTGATGAATGCATCTGCCACGTCGAGGTTGAGCAACAGCACGGCTGCCAGGAACGACATGCCTTGCACCTGTTGGTGCACGGGCACATCCAATCACTACCCCGATGCCAAGGCATCTGGCTGCCCAACTGTTAAAACTCTCATTAGGCATGACAAAATGAAAAACATGTGGCCATTACTGATTTATCAACATGTAAAAGACTTAATTCGAGGAGTTTCTTGCATATGAACATAATTTTCAAGTGATGGGGTTATTTTCATGTCAAACGAGGTAAATTAAAATTTAACGTGTATTTGAAGGTGTATTTAAGATAGACGTACATAGCCAACATCTGGACGATAGCATGTGTAGGCCCCAAGCACGCTCTGCAGGATGTCATGGTATGGTCCTCGCTGAAAAAAAACATTTTTTTTTTAAATGTTCACATAAAATTAATGGATATATAAAGCAAAGCACATACAAAAGTGTAAAGTTGAATAACACGAAATTAGATTGTCGTGACATTATTTCCCTTGGTAAAAATGTATGCGATGTCACAAACCTTCTGGAAGATACACAGAGATGGGAAAGTTCTAGAGATGTCCAGACTTATCAGCTCAAGGCTGCTTTCTCGGTCGGCCCCATTACACCCAACATCTGGGAAATGACAGCCAAGAGGTTGACAGGTGTTATTTCCATGGTTTATAATGACGATTTTGCTTGAGGTTTACAGCTAATGGACATCAATGACAGTTGACACTAACCTCCATTCTCAGAGTCTGAACCAGAGTCGCTATAGCTCCTCCACTTCTCTTTTGCCCGAGACAGAAAGATTTCGTACAATTCTGAAACAAAAATGTAAAAGCAGCATGTATTGTTAGACTCTTATTGTAAACAACACATTCAATACAAATTCATAACCAAATGACACCATATTCCGCACTCTACAGATGCATTGGTGTTTGTAATAATTTTTTAAGATGATGGACGGTAGAAGCAGCTTACCAGGCGTGATGTTGAGCTCATTGCCAATAGCCAAACTCCAAATCTTCCCCCGGATACTGGGAGGGATGCCTTGCCACCATAAATCCCGTACTTTTCTCGAATTACACCTGTTTTCATAATGTATCACAAGGGTAAATATTAAAGAGAAATAACTGTGCTGAAAGTAAACTTATTAAACAACAAATTAGAAGCTTAATTTCCTTAGGTTGCATATTGATACTTTCCAACAACATTGCAATCATTACAAGTCAAAGATAATTAATGTGTTGCATACATTTGTCCGGTTCAAATAGTTGTGATTGTCTCACAATGTTAGTATGTTCTTTTGCACCATACGTAGCCAACCGTGCGATTTCAGAGGCGTGGGAGGAAACCAGAGTAGTCCGTAGAGAATGAAAACAAAATGCTCGAGTATAGCATTAACTGCACCCCGAGTGGCTGTACTCACGTTTGTTCCCAGTTTGGCAGAATCTCAGTGTTCCACACAGCCAGGGTACTGATGATCGAGTCTTCCTTTTTACAGCGCTCCTGCATCAGTTGCTTCTGCCGCTGTGCCTCTCGTGCTTCTAGAAAACAAACAACCACTTGAGCAGAGGTAGGCTGGGAAAATGTTTGAGGTTTATTTTTGACAAAAGGCCTATTTTCACTTGTGTACTGTCACTTTAAAAACGATGTACCTCTTACGATCATAATCTGCTAGGCGGTTCTCAGTACCAATACAGATTCACAAGTACATCATCGTCATGTGTTTAGAGGATGGTTCATATTATGAAGATGATAATTATTGTTACCTCGCTTTTTAGCCTGGGAAACCATCTCAGCGTAAAGTTCCTGGTGTCTCTGCATCTCTTCGACAGGCTTAGCAGGTAGGTGCCTTCACAGCCACACGCAAACGGATTATGCAACGTACGTATAATACAAAATCTACTGCCCGCTTTCAGCTTGAAATGGTGGTGAGGATTTTAACATGAAGTCACAATGTCCGTGGTTTCTCAATTTACAAAAAAGTGCCACAGATGTGATTTCTGTTAGCCCAGCTCATAGTGGTTTTCACCATAAGGTGTGAAAATGCCACTTACGCTGGACGCTGCTCCAGAATGAGGGCTGTGGTAGAAAGGGGCTCAAAGTCCAGGTCCTTTCTTGATGGTGTCTGGCCAGTGGCCGCCTTCTCGCTTTTCGCTATCCTGGCTTCGTAATCCTACAGCACATGTGGAGAACCCGTTAAAAAGGATGACAAAAAAACTGGGGAGAAAAAAAACAACAAATCGAGCTTGCACTCTGGTGAAGCAGTCGAAGATGACAAACGAATACTGCTCACCTCGGTAAGATGCACATGTTTATTTTACGAAATAACTTAAAAACTTGTCGATATATTTTAAACACTCTCAACGAAGTATTTCTTGTTCTCACATGTCTCAAAACAAGTTCATTGTTTACAACAAAGGCATTGCTGCCACCCAACCTGTCATGTGACCCTGGGCATAAATCATGCATGTCAGATGTATTGGTGAAGCCCGAGGTTCTCATCATTTTTTCCACGGTAGAAGTGGTCCGCTTGTGAAACAAGCGCAGTGGAAAACTGAACGTCCCGAACAATGAGCATTCACCCAAAAAATTTGACTTGGTGCCAAAGGCTTAAATGAACGTTCATAAGATTTCCATTCCTCAGTCGCTATATAGTCACTACATAATATGCCTCCTTTTCCTCCCTTCCTGTTGGCACACCATCACATGTGCTCTGTGGCAATAACAGGAAACTGAGTCAAACTATTGGATAAACTGAATACTCCAAAGCTTGCCACAAGCACTTCACAGAATGGTTCAGTATTTAACTTTAAACAAATGATGGAAAAGGTGTGGTTTTTTTTATTCCAAGTCTTGAAATAAAGTTCAAATATCTTGTTTTAGTACGATAAATCAGGAAACTAAGGTACCAGTAAAATAATTGAAATAATTAAGACTTTTAACTGCTTTAACCACAATATCATTCAACTTATACTGCACACGAGCAAGAGCAACAGCAAAAGTTGGAGGCATATAATGGAAGTTATTTTAAGAAACATGTATTTTAATTGCTGAAAGATAAATCAAATGCCACAGAATAAAATACTATATGACAGGTGGGCATATGCCAAAATCCAGCTTCATGTAGGTGTGGCTAGTAGGTGTAAAACATATACATGGAGACGTATTTTTACATTTGTGCAAAATGGAACTTTAAGAATGCACAGTATGTGGGAATGCTTGCACTTGTAAGCTGCACAGCTGTCTGCTGACTATCAGCAGGAATAAGAGAACAGTACTTTCCCAGTCGATGCGTCACAACGCAACAAAGAATACAATACCAGGAAGCGAAGCGTTTAATATAGTTCTGCAAAATGTTTTTATCACTGTTACACATTCCTTCCTTTATGTAATGTGTACATATTAAACATGTTATTTTTACCAATAGTTTTCTCGTGCAAAATAATTTCATAATTTCAACATGCGTAAAGTTTTCCAACTAAGGTTAAAAGTTAATGCATTAGCTTTAAGTCTGCCTGTAGTCAGAGGTAAAATGACTGTAAACCTGATCAAATATAAACATGTTTTTATTAAAGTTGTGTTGCTATTAAAGACTTGATAGAAAACTGGCCAAATGTATCAAAGACATGCCCAAAACTTGGCGATAACCAACGCTAGGCAGATTATCCTTGGCGCCGAAGCCAATGACGTCAGTTCACAATGCGGTTCGAAACTTATGATCATTACCGCGAATGAGATAATTGCGTGGACAAAACGCATATTGAAAAAGCATTTCAGAATCCATGTACATTCAGGACTTATGTTGTACCTGTTGAATTTTCTTAGGGTCTTTCTGTGGACTTTCTTTTGGCGGGACCCTTCCAAACAGTTTCCAGCCAGGTGCACTTGGAACACTCACTCTGCAGTCCTTGTTCCTCCACGTGAGTATGTTTCTGCAAGCAGTGGATGGTCATGAATAAACATTTAAATCACTTTTCTGTAAGTTCTCAATATAACCCAACTGCTATACTCAAAACCAGTATGAACGTCTAAAACAATGGATTAAATTTAGTTGACAAATATACTGCTTAATTGCAGCTTTAAAACACAATTCTGTTTCGTTTAAAAGAACCCATACGCTTACACTAAACTAACAATAAATGCCACTTATTCCACAAGTGATACGTGCTTACTTTTTGTTTATTCATGCACCGTGTAGAATTCTCAGCAAAACGTAAACGGTTTACTTTTGCAAGACAACTCTGTTGCAGAGGACTATGCCCCAGCTCAGAAATGCATCCCACGCACTGTAGATTGCCTAATGACCAGGTAATAATCTGTGGGAGGTCCTGGTACACTTTGTTCCCAGTGAATTCTTACACTTGACACAATAGTAAATTCCCATAAGATGTGTTTTTTTAAAGGCGTTAACTGTTGTCTTGTATAAATGTGGGACATTTCAGCTGTAAATTCCCATAAGATGTGTTTTTTTTAAAGGCGTTAACTGTTGTCTTGTATAAATGTGGGACATTTCAGCTGTTCACGTAACAGGTTTTTTTTTAAACACCGGCTTCAAGGCAAATATGCTAAGTGCAGTGTCGTAACATATTTAAAGGAACACCATAGGCTTCACTTAACAAAATGGCACATTCTACAACATCTGTATGCCCGAGTCCCAACGATAAACTTGAAGAGACTGAAATGAGCACATATGTTTGAATTTGACAGTGACCGTTTTATTAGCATGCAAATTTTACAACACATTATCTTCTTACAGACACCAGAGTCCATGACTGTATAAACATATCACACAATAGTGGAGTGAAGCAATGTTTGCAACCATTTTTAAAAGGCAATCTAATAGATTATTGCAGGAACCAGATTAACCTTATTCCTAAAACGCATTTAAAGGTGTTTTCCCATTTATGAAAACTTACATTCAAACGTCAATTAAGACAGCAACATTCAATGATAATTGGTTTCAAGTCGAAGATGCCTTATTAACTAGTGAGAAACCCTTGAAATGAATTATTCCATTTCCAAAGCAGACCTGGATTCCACCAGTTATATTAGGACAGTGTTCACGTTTATTATTGTTTACTTGTCTTATGCCTCAACAATAACATCCCTTTGAAAATACGGTATTCATTTTAAAAATGTTTTTAAAAAGGAAAGTTTTAATGGGACTGCATTTTTAAATGCCGACAGTTAAAAACAAGGCACGTTCGTGTAATAAATTACGTACGAGTAATACGTACAATTTAAATGTAGTTAGTGTAATGAACAAATACATTGTATTAATCCATACTAAGATTTCAACACATTAATAAGACACGTTAACAAACGTTAATTCACACAATACTTATTCTCGAAATGAACTTACCCTTCATAAATGAGAAGTGAAGACAAAGCCATGCCACATGCTTAGAATACACAGCACTGCGGCCTACGAAGCACATAAAAATCTCCGAGGCCAGACTTGGAACTTTGAAACATGGTAGCTGACTCACTGGCACAAGCAAACTGCCAAACCCTAGCAAAGTATGCCGGCTCCCTGAGAACGTTACTGTGGAATGGCGAAAGATTTACGTAGCCTATTTCTGTACATATTTAATAACTTGAATACACAGAGTAAATATGTTACAGTATCGTCATACTCCAGCATCCAGGGGGTGGAGGAGCAGAGTGGGAGGATGAAGACTCACAGAGGGTTTGTGTTTCCTGGTCTGGTGAGTGAGCCAATCGCTCTCAAAACCAGGAAGTTGTGAACCACCCCATTTGCTTTGTAAACCCGAATAGCCTGCCAAACGAGTATGCGTCTTTTAAAAAGACGTTTGGCATGAAAATTGTGACCAAAATTAACCAGATTTAAGCAGGTTTTTGAAATTCTTCATGCTTACCCACATTTCTCAAGGTCTGGGGTTAAAATAGAAACGGGGCTTTTTAAAGAAAAACGAGAGCTAAAAAAAACACATCAACTCTACTTTATTATTAGATTACTGTACATTGTATAGTATTGTAATAGTGGGCCTTGCAAATTGTAACAGCTTGACTGGCAATATATGCAAGTCATATTTTTATATCCAGGAGGTATCAAATTAAAACGCTTCAAAGTTATATATTGTCCAACTTTCTTCAATTAATCCAGTTTTCCAGGGGGGGGGGGGGATAATGTTCTGACACCTCTGCTTCATTGAGCAATGCTACAACAACTTTGTTAGATAACCTGATGTTCTCTGCACCAAATGTATGGTACAGTACAATTAAAGTCATATAAAACAGTACATTATCAGCTTAAGAAGTTTTTATTGAGAAATTCCACATGTCTGGCATTTAATTCAAGGTTTTGTTCAAATAACTTATAATTTTCCTCCCAAAAGAAACACTTAAGCCGACAGTGTTTTGAATGGGGCTGTTTATTTCCCACATCAAGTTTCGTTCAGAAACAGTTTAGCATTCCTCGGAATGTCCGTTTTTGCACTTATGACAAATTGACAAATCCTAGAGCACCTGGAAAACAGCCGGCGTGTCCATGTGTCCATTATTTAAACGTCTTGGGCTCAGCTTAGACACGTCTTTTAATGCGTACTGTATATGCATAGAGCTTTGGACAATGTTTCTGTACGAGAACCTTCCAAATGGCAACATTGCTTCAAGCCTTGTGTAGCCTCAGTTATTCTACGCATTATTGTATTCAGTTTCATTGATGGATCGCCCCTTTTTACAGGCTTTATTTTAAGTCACTCTGTTGTCATTGTTGTATCCTCAAATCTTGTAACTCAATTGTAACCCACTTCCCAATGTGGTATCGACTGCAAACTTGGTATACTTATGTCATACTGATGACAATACTATATTATATCATAAAAAAATGTTTTAACGTTCTTTTCTATATGTTATGTTTCGGCTTGGGTCTAATCTCCACGGTCAACTGACGTTGGCTGTAATTGGCCACGGTCCCCTTACGTTGTGGCAAGCTTCGGGGTCACTTCCTCGAGTCGTGGAGTTCTGCCATTACTAGTACATTTAATAAAAGCGTGTTTTTTTATTACTTATTTATTCCCTTTTTGATTGATTGGAGTTAGTTTATAAATGCAGTGTATTTCCATGTACATCCCTTGGATACACATCCTCAGTATTTTTAAAGCAATATTTGGTGTTATTGGCTACAACAAGTTGTGTTCCCGATCCCTGCTATCTGTATTATCAAACATTTTAAACATCCCTGCTATGTTTACAGGCAGCAATGGCCTCCAAAATATGCATTCGTTTACCCCATCACTGATTTTTCATTTATGGTTATGAAAGAGCCTGGTAAAAAAAAATACTTGGTTAATTACATATTTGAAGATGGTATTTAATTTCCAAGTCTTTCTATACTTTTTCCAGGAGTCTCGATGCATTATTCAAACACAATAATGTAATCAAACCGACAGGAAAGTAATTACTTAATTTGTTGTTTGAACAATATAGCGACTGATTTTTCACCTTTAATAGTATTATCCAATATCAGGGAATCCATGAAACAGAATAAAAAAATATGCACCACTGCCAGGTCAAGTGGATGTAGTAGCAGCAGCCTTCAATACAATTAATTATTCCCATTGCATGCTGCTTCCATACCTGTCTAGCCATATGGTTTACCCGTATTCTTGTACAGGGAAATTGAGTTCCGGTCCATATGGCATACAGCAGTTTCAATACGGGCATTTTTGTTGTCGATTTGTGTTTTTCCCTTGTGATGGGACTTTGTAGGATGAACGTTGAGATTTATAAGGGGCACGGGGTGACCAATAAGGTCTGAATTAGTCTGTAATAAGGTAGGCACTGATAAGGGGTTGACAGGTATGTGCTTGTTCATCTCGGCTGTATGTTATGGAGGTGTTGTAGTATGGCTCCAGTCACTGAATGGTCTATTAATACTATGTCTTCTATTAATACTATGTCTAGGGATTTCCCAGACCTGGCTTTTTTACGCATTTAGATCCTGTAGGTCACTAATTGAATTCTCTTGTGAATTACTAATGTATATTTATGCCTACGATGTACTGGTATGCTTAAGCTTTGAATAAATGTTGATATTTCATGCGGGCTCAACCTGTGTTTTAATTAAGTCTGAGATGATTACATGATACCAACGTTTTGCTGATAAACAACATAAAAACACCGTTGCAATTTTTGATTCCTTTTCACCGTTTTTAAACATGGAATTTCCACTATTTCCATTATGGATAGAAACAACATTGGAGCTGCACTGGACACGAAGCTGTGTTACTGTTAAAATATAATTTCGATACAATGCGTAATGAAGGCCTTCCCCCTCACCATGCTGGCCTGTGTCAGTTTATGAAGGGGAGACACAGGACTGGTAAAGCTTTCACTTCTACGTCATCGGCGTTGCCACCACTTCAACTGTTACTCTATACACAATTAGGTTAGTCTACTGTACTGTATAAGCCCTTCAGTATGTTGACGCTAACACCTTTCCATATTTTAGACCAATATCGACAATTTCCATTTCATTTCTCCATTTGCTTGCTCATCTGCCAAGTCCAGATTGACCACAACGGTTTACTACGTCAACTTTTACAAGGTATGGCTGTTGTAAACTGAACACACGGCATATGTACGTGCTCTCGTTATATTTCAGTAGTACATTAAATCAATTTTCCAAGAAGTGCGGTGTTCGACACTTGTCATGTCTTTTCTGATCTCAAAACAAACACGTCCCTTTCAAGGAATAGAACTCAGCACATTAAAAAAAGTGTTCCTAAGCGAAACCGATGTTCTTCCTTAACTGTCAAAGATTCTGAGTGCCTCTTAAACCAAGGGCATACTGGTAATATGTAGACATACATAATTGTGTCGATCCACTGCTGGATGTGGATCTCCCCAAGACATGCGAGCTGTGGGAGTCATTTTGATTATACTTGACCATGCCGCTCAGTGTGATTTGGTAAAGATGGAGAACCCATATGAAGAAGCATTGAATCACAGTCCAATGGATTGGGCTGTACTGCTCTCTACTGACAACATAGCCCCCCCCCCCCCCGCGGCAACCTACAACAACCTTCAAACATTATTTCACGCATGATCGTTGCCCATCCAAGCAATACCCAGGCACTATCCGGGCTTAAATCCGCTTAGCTTCCAAGATATGATGAGATTGGGCACGTACAGGCTGATTTAGTCAGACATTGAGAATCTATCTAGAATTAAATCACATCCGCAGGTGTACCCTTTTCCACTTCATGCGCATGTGTATTTGATTTGAAACATATCTATGGAAATACTATATAAAATATATGTACTTCATACTCTTTGTTTATTTCGGTAAAGTCACGCAGGCATTATTTTATACCCACGTGACTTTACCGAAAGAAACAAAGAGTATAGATTCCTGCAGTCACGAAAGCTTCAAATCAAGACATGTACTTCACTTAACTAAAACGTATACGCAGTAAGTGTATAAGAACGTTTTTGTAACTTGTGAATGGTTCTTTCATAAAGCTTGATTTCATTAATACTGTACACATGAATGAAGCGTGGTTTAAAAATAAAAATCACGTGCAAAATTATTATATATTTTTTCAAATGCTACGATTTATCAATGCAGTGCACAAAAAACTTTATAGGAAACGAATCCTGTACTTGAGGAGTTATGCTGAAACCAACGTGTTTACAACGGCAAATGGCCGCATTCCAGCTCTTGGTAATTTGCTGCCAAGATCCAAGGAGGGCCAAAACATTCTTCTTGGCATGTGGTTTAAATCAGACATGTTTTTTCCTCTTGGATTCAATAAGCTGGTTCCCTCTGCATACTGTAAAATAAGGTTCTGCGAATCCAACGTTAAGAAGTAGAATTGTTTTCCACGGTTAATTATCACCAATATGACTGTATATGGCCATTTAAATCAAACAAATATGGGCATAGTTATAGGTGTTCCACGGCAAACTATATCCGCGCAACAGAGGACTGTATTTGCTGTCTGTAAATTAAATACACACGCTACATTGAGGTAATGCGATTTTACTTGACATCCTATTGTTTGCAGGCACAGGAGCATCAAGCGGTTAATACTTTTGAAGTATTCGTGTTAACATTCTTTGGTTCTTTCGGTAAAGTCTCGTAGATAGAAAAATAATAAAGTGAATAAAAATAATAAAATAAAAATAATAAACAAAAAAACACGAATATAGACTGTAGCCTGGTTCTTAATCAGAGTGTACTGGCAGTATAATAATGTAGACTGTAGCCTGGTTATTAAATTAAGAACCAGGCTACAGTCTCTATTAGTGTTTTTCGTTGATTTTTATTCTATTTTTATTCACTTAATTTTTTGTTATTATTTTTCTATCTACTTGACTTTACCAAAAGAACCGAAGAATATGAATTCCTGCAGTCACAAAAGTTCAGTCAAAATTTATACGTGTCAATGTATTATTTTCATGCCAGCACCCAGCCAATGTGGTCATGACAGCATTATTTACAGGTCATTTGGAACGAATCGGTTATTGGGTGTACTGTTCTGGTCTTCTGGCTATACTGTATCTTACAGACGATGTAATAGGATATTTGGCATGCCACCAAGGCTTTTAAAGTGCAGTGCCATGGTAAAAAAAAACCCTTGTTGTCATACCTCTAGCCCAAGGTGTACATTTTCAGCTCAGCACGCCAACGATCCATTGTGAATGGTACATCTCCATTTTATAGTAACATGTTGCAAATGATATAAATGTAATGTCACGCATTTACCATCATAATACAATAATAATCCTGGTTAGTGGTTTTATGCGAATCGTCACAATTAGATTAGTTTGCAGTAAAAAAATATTGTCTAATGGGGTTCATTTTTTGTATACATAAAAATGCCAACGTTAAATTATAGACATTGCATTACTGCTAAATGCACAACATGTATATTACTTTCACTGAAAACGCTCTCCCTCCCAACCTACCCCTGGTGAAGTCCTTGCCGAGCTCCGCGCTACATGTCGACGCCGTTGCCTCTTTGTGAAAAACAACATGCACTGGCGTGCGTGCAATAGGTCAACCCACCTCGTAATGTACGTGGCCAGCCCGATGCGTTTCGGCTTTTCATCTTCGCACAGCTCATCCTGATGGCACGTGGGGTCATCTTGAAGGTCGGGGTCGTCATCGCGATGTGGAGCATCCGAGGCCTCGCTGCTTGTGCGTTCTCTGTCCGCAGCACTCTTACACTGCTGCTGCTGCCGATTCTGCTCAACAGAACCTGCCACAGCTCCGGCTGAGCCTCCCACACCAGCCGACAGATCCGAGCTGAGGCTGGAGAGACTGGAGCGAGACACCGTGTCCGCCTCGTCCATCTCCAACTCGCCCTGGGCCATGTGGCCCACGGGGCCAGACCCTGGCTCGTAGGCACCGCGGGGGAACGTGGCCGACTTACGGGCCCGCTCGCCTGTCCTCAGGGCGGCCGAGGCCGACAGTCCTGGCGGAAGACTCCTGCTGCTCTTCTTGCTGGGCAGCCTATCCGCCGATGGGCCTGGCTCACAACCACCACCAACACCACCACCACCACAACAGCCAACACCACCACCACAACAACAGCCAACACCACCAGCGGCAGTGGCACCACCACCAGCGCCGCCGCAGGCACCGTTCATGGAGAACGCCGCCTGCAAGCCATCGGCCATCATCATGGCCATGACCATTCTCTCCACGTCCCTGCTGTTGGCGTGGGATCCCTCCATGTGCGTCACTCCAGAGTCCTCGGACACGAAGCTCTCGCTGTCCTTGTGGGTGCCACTCGCCCTGGCCGATCCACCTTCATCCTGCTGGTCTTCCTCATCCTCCTCCTCCTCCTCGTCATCCTC